GATGAGAATTCAGGAAGAATTGAAGGAATGAATCAGTGTGGTATCAAAAAGAGGCTTTACTGTAATTCATTTGGTTTTGGTGGAGTTTTATTCTTTGAGCTGGATGTTTTGTTTGTGGATCTTTCATCGTTATTTTGAACGGTATCATGAGAAAAGAACTTCAGGTAGAAGTGAAGTGTTTGAATTTCTTCACATATGGCTCACAGGTTATTGTCAACCGTTTAGCTGTCATTGTTTACTTCATTATTTTGATTGTATCTACAACTGATTTCATGTCATTCACAATAACGGTGAAAGCTCCATGACCAAATCATCGAGCTCAGAGAACAAAACTCCACCAAAATCATCCACCTGATGTACCAATTTTCTGCACCACCTCCATTTGGTTTCACTATACAACACCAGATATTCAATAATTCATTTGAAGGTAGGTCAATTCCCTTCCGTTCTCACCTACAGTTGTATATACGACTTTCCATGTACCTGAGGTAGCAAATATATAAGACATATGAAAGGGCTCCCACCACGTTTTCTGAACACGTTCCAAGAAGCCTATGCCTGAAAGGCAGTAAAAAGTAAACAGCTTTATGAATAACTCTTACTATCACAGGTTTATGTTACATAAAACACAGAAATCAATTTTTCATTCAATCAATGACCCACGCTACTTCGACTAATGTTCAAAGACAATTTTATTCTCATTTGATAGCCGGATTGAGTAATGTTACAAAGGTTTGATGAAAATCACTAAAGTGAAATAGAATTCCGATGATTGCACACTAATATCATTTTTGAAAGTAATCTGAATTTACTGTATAAAAAATTCACTGATGAATATAATTAAATATTATTGAAACAGCTCTGACGAATATGGTTATGCATGACAAGAAAATAGAAATATTGCATTGGAAACGTGGGAGCACCAAACGGTCGTTTCCTCCTAGTTTGAACTTCCTTAACAGTGCGCATCCACGATCCCTCATGTGGGAGGACCTTCTGTCCCATGCGCGAACGCTTAATCTCTATACCACTGATCTGGTATCCAACGGTGTTAATGTCTAACATCAATCGATCTATGAATGGATGCGCGACTCTTCATTTATTATGTGAGTGGGATAACTGTCTCACACCTGACCCGATTTGGACTCTACTGATCACGGCTTCTCCCTAGAACTCTAGGAAATCCATCTTGAAGCTAGTCACTAGTGAACACATGAATAGTATCAGTACGGGAAGTTGTGGAGATTTTAGTATTTTCATAGTTGAATTAACGAGTCCATTTAAGCTAGACCATTATTGAAAATCTGGAAGCATTGGACGATCGTCTTGTCCTAATATTAGACTCTTCAGCATTGCGTATTCATGATCTCCAAACGACCAAGGTCTAGCTCAAATCAACTCATGAATTCAATTCAATTCAGAAACCGAATAAGCATATGAATTACAATATGGTTTTCCATTGTCAAAATTATGCAACAATCATAAAAACTTAATATCTATATATTAAAAGAAACTGTATATTGATCAAACTATATAACGTAAAATATGTTTATTCTCCATGAGTGAAAAAACAAATCTCATCTAATTGAAAGCACTAAGTTTACTTTTAGTAGTTTGTTTTCATTATCTGTTAAGAGACAAGTCATTGTGTACACAACACTCTTAGCTATAAGAATTCATTTATGAGTATAAGAACTAAATTAGAGCGAATAGTTTCACAGCATTTGGGTGCCGAGTTGATGTAAGACATTCAATAAGAATAATATATTTGTAAAATCTCAGCGAATGAATTTGAAGTAAATCCAACGTTTCACCTGGCAATCTGGTCCAAGGAAATATTTCCTTGGAAAAGTTTGGACCATATTGCCAGGCGAAACGTTGGATTTACTTCAAATTCATTCGCTGAAATTTTACAAATATATTATTCCTATTTAGTAATTACTTAGTATTAATACTAATGATTATGATTACAATGTATTATTACAACAGTTGAAAGTGTTGAAATAACAGTTTTTAATATTTAAAGTAGAATGAAACAACAGTGAGTAAAGATTGTCCGATTAAGACTTCAGTTTACTTTTGATATAACTGTATTTGAGCAAACATTTAATTAAGATTTTACCTTGGAAATCGTGTCATATAAAAAAAGAAATGTGGTAAAACAAATTAATGGACTGTCTATAAAAAACAACCATGGAAAACCTGGTAGCACTGGACGGCTGTTTCGTCCTACTGTAGGACTTTTCATTAGTGAGCATCCACGATCCCACCTCGCGACCTCAGACCCAGGGCCTATCAGTCTCGCGCGTAAGTGCTTAACCGATAGACCACTGAGCTGGCCGGCACCCAATGGTGTTAATGTCTAACTTCAACCGATTCACGAAGTTGAGCAACCATTCATCAATATCTTCAGTGAGTTGATATCTCCCAAAAGATCTGGTTGAACTCCACTGGCTACTGCTTCTCACTAGAACTCCAGGAAATACCTAATGGAGTCAGTCACTAGTGAGCATATGATCATTATTCGAAGGGCGTTTTGTGGAGATTTTAGTAATTTTATATAGTTGAGATCATGAGTCAATTGAAGCTAGACTACCATGGAAAACGTGGAAGCACTGGTAGGTCCTGGTTTCGAATCTCGCGAGGTGGGATCGTGGATGCGCACTGCTGAGGAATCCCACAATAGGACGAAACGGCTGTCCAGTGCTTCCAGGTTTTCCATGGTGGTCTAGCTTCAATTGACTCATGATCTCAATTAGATAAAATTTCTAAAAATCTCCACAAAAATCCCTTTCTGATACAACAAACAAACCAATCACTAATATGAAATTACTTGATAGGTTTTTTATTCTCAATAGACTTAGCTTTATTCAGCAAAATACTGAAAGCGCTACGTGAAAATACGAAATTAGGTGATTATTTTGTCAGGAATAAGCTTATACACACAAGTCTCCAAACTTTCGTGACACTAATTGGATGAAAGGTATGTGAATGAGTTATAAACATGTAAATTTAAATAATTAAATTATTTTTCCATTTTCAGGAGAATCAAATTTGTAATATGGTCAGCAGTCCAAATGCTTTGATATCACATGCACTATACTTTAATTTTACGTAGTTGGTAGCAAGGAAACTTTGACTTAAAGTTAGTATTGGTTAGGACTAATGAATATGGCCTATCTTTAATTTCGAAGGAAGAAATGTACCAGTTGAGTTTTGAACTGGCATTATCCAGTATCTCAGTATTAAGACGTTAACATTGGAGTTATCCGGACTGTGATTCACTTCCTGAAAGAATCAAGTATTTGCATATGTTATTCACAGAGCAGTAAATGAAGTCGTGTTTTCGAAGTCGATCGAATTTCGTTGTTGAATTCGCAGTTCAGTTACTAATGAATTATATGTTGAAAAAAGCTGGTTCCAGGCGATTAACAATAAATCCAGAATCTACACTAGTGATGAAGACATCTTTCTTTTTAATTGTCAATAACAGGCTCAAATAAAGTTTAATCCTAAGATTTAGAAAACCTATTCAATCAACTCTCGATGCAAAACTCTACCAGGATATTTTACTCAACAAATATACCAATAAATATGATAACTGATTCTTCCAGTAAAACGATTCCAGGATGTAAATATTATCAATAAATCACTTAAAATCATATTCCCAGTTAAAGAGTTATCCTATTTGGAATTTAACCTATTCAGAAAAGAAACTTTATTAATGAGTCACCTTTACAGTGTTATGTAATCAAGAGCTCAGCTAAGTTGCAATAATGGCTAACTCATCATGTTCTTAATGTGTGATTACCGAGAAAATTTACAGTCAGTCTAAGTTTTGTGAATTGAAACTTAAACATCATTGATCTCAGCTATAAAACACAGTTCACCTAAAAAAATTTCTTAAGGGTTATGGTTAAGCTGAATACGCAGATCATACAATGATTCACGTAACTTATAGATGTTACTGAAATAACTTTCATAGATTCCTAGAAAGTATGAAGTAACTTATGAAAAATACTGTCTGACAGAAATAGTGAGATTTGATAAATTTAGGAAGCACTTTCATACAATTTGAGAATCTATCAAACTATACAATGAATATTTTTATTAAGACTGAATAGTAGTTACCAATCAAATCCATTATGCATGTTTTATCCTACCTGAGATACGTCAACTGGATGCATCTGAAACTTATTATCAATATTCACATTATGATTCGAATCCAGTTTTTTTTTCAGTTTCAAAGTCAATGCATGATTCACTGAACTAATAAGTTGAGATAGTTATTAGCTTGTATAATGAATGAATTTTTATTTGCAATGATTTATATTTTCAAAGCTCAACTGTTATACAAATGAATAAACAATCATTTCTGATTATAAACGACCCCCAGTTAAAAGATTAAATCATAAATCAGTGATCATTTATTTAAATTGATGAATAGAAAAATCAACAACAAAAAAACACGAAAAAAATGGAAAAATCAAGAATAAATAAGCAAACAGTGAAATGAGAAATACTCTCCTTTTTTTGTCATGAATACTATCGAAAAGGTATAATAATAATAATAGTAATAATAATAATAGTAATAGTAATAATAATAGTAATAATAATAGTAATAGTAATAATAATAGTAATAATAATAATAATAGTACTTGAGTACAATGGTACTCAATGACTTTTAATATATTCAATGTTAACTATAATCAATTATTAATGTCATCATAATACTTTCCAATTATTATCAAACATCATTGTTAACAATCATGTAAAATGATTCGTATAGCAAAATTAAATGACTGCTTATCTTTTTTGGAAGAGTAAAACAAAAGAAACAAGTAAAAAGGATCATTCAATTATTTATTATGAATAAATTCAGTAGGAAAGAGAAACTTCAATTCATCTACCATCATAATCATCATCATCATCATGATCATACTGTTAAGTTAATTATAATAAATATTGAATAAAAATATCTGTAATTGTTATTTGTATATTTAAACAAAAGGTAATGATCGATCCATTTGTAATCGTAATTGTCCACTTGGAAGACTATAATATTCAAATGAAAAGAAACGAATTGATGAATTGTGTTTATTGATTATATATATCAGAAGGAAATTTTTGGATATTTCAGTATTTTCATAGTTGAAATCATGAGTCAATAATCATATGCTCACTAGTGACTGACTGTAAGGGATGTTTCCTTAAGTTCTAGTGGGAGGAAGTGACCAGTGGAGTTTAACCAAGTCTGTTGTAGAGATATCACTTCACTGAAGACAATTGGTAAACGGTTGCTCAAACATCGTGGATTGATTGAAGTTAGACATTAACACCGTTGGATGCTGGCTCAATGGTCTATCGGTTAAGTGCTCAGGCGCGAGACTGCTAGGTCCTGGGTATGAATCTCGCGAGTGCGGGATCATGGATGCGCACTTCTGAGGAGTCCTACAATAGGACGACACGGCCGTCCAGTGCTTTGAGGTTTTCCATGGTGGTCTAGCTTCAACTGACTCATGATTTCACCTATACATATATATATATATATATATATATATATATACGACATTGAATTTTCATCACGAGAATTATAACCTACGAAATCGACCGATTTGAGGACAAGTATACTTTAGAAATGTTCATTATGTTCCACTTTATAGCTGCAAAATTGTTATATCCTGCGTAGATTTGTGAGTGGTAACTTTGAGAACTATTTATGGACCAATATAATATGTATATTTCCTATTGTATAATCGTGAAGCAACTAAACTATTCATATTCTTGTCCCTCTTATTATAGGCTTTATTTTCATCTATAGACTATTACTGTATGATTTACCACTCTTGAGTTATACTTAGTCCATTAATTACTGTTCCCCCTATTCATAGCCACATTTGGTCAAAGCTTGTACAAATGTTATTTTCTATTTTATGGTACGATGTGATCTGTTTGATTGGTATATCAACTTAGTATGTTTGAAATATAATGATTCATACCTCAGAGGCTGTTATTGGTGTTCTGGACTTAACTGGCTGGTCTAGGCAGAAAGCAGAACTAATAAGTACTCAAGACTGCACATACAGCTTTTGTGTATCATTTCTCTGGTCGATAATTCACTCCTCTCTGATTGGCGGGAATCAACACGTCATAAATATAAACAGGGCACTCAAGCAATCGATATAACAAAAATGTAATCGTTAGAAAACTAATAATATTCGTGGATTACTAGTATTTATCAAACATGCCTTCAATATAGTGATTGTGTATGTTGGTAACAACAAACAAACAGTGCTGAAGTTAAAAACACATGGCCCCAGGTAAAGATAAAGACCCGATTAATGAGGTCATAAACATTTATTGGCTATAACGATTAGAAAATATATTATATATACCTAACCACCGCATACTATAATAAGTCCAGATGACTGGTGAGGGCGTAGATTCATCGAAAACTAAGAAAGACCAAACTAAACCGTGGTATCGCTTTTTGAAATCATTAACATTTGGAGTGAGCCATAAGGATAAGCTCAAACTATCTAGCTTTCGAGTTCACTATTATCATAACTATTGGTTGGAGTGTTGAGCGACATAACGGATAATCCGTAACAATGGGACAGGTGCATTCACTATTTGCATTCCACTAAGTTTTAAGTTTCTAAATTACCTTAAGAAAATATTTTTATTCGACGAATTCATGTTTTTTCCCCGATTCATATATCTTATACCTAGTGTTTTCTTCTACCGCTAGCATGATGATTACTTACGTTACATCTCGCTGTGATGATATGTTGTCTTAACTTCAACCTATCTATGGACGAGCATACCAGGTTCTATATTTTTGGGTAGTTGACTATACTTCATGACCGAATCCACAGTTAGCGTCTTTATGGAATGATACCACGTTTGTGTTATTACCAGCCATAATGTTTATCAGTCTAAGTTTACTATTGTAAGAGTTCTATGTTGATTTAGCATTACATAATGGATAGAACTCATAACTCTTCAGTTATTAGAAATTCAGTTAGAAAATTCCGCTCAACATAAACATTACTCATTCACTAATTTTTTTTATCTGAACTTAGTAACTAAGTGGATAACTCAATGGCGTTTCAAGTGAATGATACTGGTTCTGAGTCCCATAATGAACATCAACTCTGAGATGTATGTACATTCAGCTGACGAGTCCCAAATAGGACGATTATATGCATCCTGGATTCTAATGCTAGCCATTATCCATCTCTAATTATAAATAGTAGTTTAAGCCTTTAAAATCTTAAAGTGACACATTATTAATTATTTGCTAATCATTAAGTTGATTCATTTCTAATGGTCTAGGTTACAAATTTTTTCTTGTGAAAAAAAATTTAGACGATAGCAACACAAAGCATTCAAAAAACAAAAAAAATTTCATGTCAAATAAATATTATCAAATGATTGAATTAAAATTTAATTTAATCTATATTTCAGATATGTTTTAAGTTTACTAAATAAGATCAGCTAGAAAGAGAAAGAGAGAGGGGGGAGGGAGATAGGGAGGGAGGGAGTAAGAGAAAAACAAAAAAAGAATAGAAACAATACATACACACATTACTTGCATAATTGTATTCTGTTCTCATCAAATAATCTAGTCTTTCTATGTATATTATATATATATATAATCCTGTTAGTTAAAAAACACATTTCTATAATCATTGTCAATTTGTCAATTTGAAAAAAAATATATTTCAATTATATTTAAAAGTAGTAAGTAGTATAATTGACATGTTCTCTTTAAGACTTTTAAAGAGTTAAAAATAAGAAAACGTGAACATGAATAAGAATTAAAGTCAACTTTATATTTCTTATAAAATTAGTAATATTATATTATATATTGTGTTTAACTATTATTACTATTACAAGAAAAGATGGATAGTGGCTAGTAGTGGAATCTAGGACGCGTGTTTCGTCCTATTTCGGACTCGTCAGCTGGATGTACCTACATCTTAGAGATGATATTCACTCTGGGACTATTGTCTTTAAATTTGAAAATGTTACCAAGTAATGACTTGTTTTTTTTTGAAAATAAGAAGAAAATTAATAAAGTTGAATTACTAATACAGTAGTAAAAATTGAAATACTATTGTTAGTTGAATGTACTTGTTTTTTTATATCCTAACGAAAAAATTAATGATCACTGATAGGAATTATTTATGTACTATTAGTTCATATATTCTTATTGCATAATTAATATGTTACTAGATTATATGTATATAAAGGCTTCTTCGACACTACAACGTGCCTGAGAAGATAGTCAAAATCATACAGAATTCTTATGATGGATTGAACTGCGAACTCGTTCATTGAGGACAAATCACCGACTCATTCGAGGAAAAGACCGGTGTCAGACAAGATCGCTTACTCTCACCCTTTTTATTTCTTCTGGTGATCGACTGAATCATGAAGACGTCAACATCTAGGGGGAAGCACGGGATACAATGAACAGCTAGGATGCAGCTGGACGATTTACACTTCGCAGATGATCTGGCTCTTCTATCACACACGCAACAACAAATTCAGAAGACGACCAGTGAAGCAGCAGCCTCAATAGAAGTAGGTCTCAATATACACAAAGGGAAAAGCAAGATTCTCCGATACAACACAATATGCACCAATCGAATTACCTTTGACATAGAAGCTTTGGAGGATGTGAAAACCTTTACATATCTGGGCAACATCATTGATGAACACGGTGGATCTGATACAGATGTGAAGACGCGGATCGGCAAACAAAGAGCAGCATATTTACAACTGAAGGATATCTGGAACTCAAAACAATTGTCAACGAACACCAAAGTCACGATTTTCAATACAAATGTCAAGACAGTTCTACTGTATGTGGCGGAAACCTAGAGAACCAAGAAAGCCATCATCCAGAAGATACAGGTGTTTATTGACAGTTATCTACACAAAATACTTCGGATCCGTTGACCAGACACTATCAGCAAGAATCTACTGTGGGAGAGAACAAACCAGATTCTAGCGGAGGAAGAAATGGTGAAAGTGGATAGGACACACATTGTGAAAAGCATCCAACTGCGTCACAAGTCAAGCCCTCATAGGAATCGTGAAGGTCAAAGGAGAAGAGGAAAACCGAAGAACACATTACGCCGAGAAACAGAGACAGGCATGGGAAGAAAGAACAAAAATTGGATAGAACGAGCAGGGAGGCCCAGGACAGAGTGAGTTGGAGAATGCTGGTTGGTAGCTTCTGGTACATTTGGAGTGACAGGCGTAAGTAATATATATATATATATATATATATATATATATATATATATATACAGCAAGTAATTAAGCAAGTAAATGTTTCAAAAGAAAAACTTACCTTCTAGTTAATTTATCATAAAATGTCTTTGGTATAATAGTAACTTTCATTGGAGTTTTTGATTCATCCATAAGTTGTAATAAATCTTTATCTTTTAAACCAACAACATTTTGTCCATTAACTTCAATAATTTGATGATTAGTTAATATACCATTACGTGCAGCACTTGAGTCTTTAACTATTGCTTTAATTAAACCATTACGAACTTGTATACCAATTGCACCTAAACTATCTTTATGCACAGTAATAACACGTTCGAATGGACTAGAGTAAGGAAAAGATTAGTGAATGAAAAGAATTAGAATGTTTGTAAGTGTGAACAGTCTAACAGTTAGTAAGTTATTCATACAGAATATATAACTAGGCACATGTTTACATTAGTTCATATCAGTATTATCGTGATGGTAAAGTAATATAAGTATAATAGCAATATTAAACGTAGTAGAAAGCACTAAACGTAGAGTATATGACAGGAGAAGAAAGACGAAATTTGTGAAATAATGAGAGTATAAGATGACCTTCAATCTTGGGATCTAAGGGAAGACAAAAAATGAATACATCTACGCCAGTGTGATCGATTCTGAGCTAAATTACCCACCGTTTCCAAATACTGGTGACGATAAATACCCGGATCTTAATTAGGTCGTCAGAACCTACCTACATGGATCCAACCCATAGCTAACAATTTCATAGACTGATGCCACATTTTGATTTGACCGTTTCTAGTTTCTTTTCAACCTAAACTTTCATCAGCACTGTGCTTCGAAATAACTTGTGGCTGGGCACACACAAAGCATTTCCTAACCACCTTGATTAAGAAAAATTCATTTCCACTTCCGAATATATTCCGTCTTTATCTGGCGTTCGAAATCTATGAAGAGATTTTGTCAGATACCAACTCACTGGGACTGATGGTACTCACAAGTTATGTGAAGTGGTAGACATGCTTAACTAGAGGACACACATTTGACAGTTCTTTATTTCAAGGAATGATACAGTAGAAATATCGTGCCAGTAATTTCAATAAAATATGGATATTTTTAGGCACATACTAGATAATTAAGTGTTTTACGGTCACTTACCTATTCAAACCGAATAAATAAATACAATTCCTACTCAAAGAGCACTTTAAATGCGAAATACAAACAAGCGCAATGAATAAAAACAAAAGTGACGTTAACATAGAGAAACAGTTAGATAAACAAGTTAGATAATGTCACAATTGTATGCCGGTGAGTCGTTTAGCGGTTAGGCGTTCGCGAAGGTTTTCAGTTCTATTCCCGTATGCAGAATCATGAATTAGCAGTTCTGAGGTGTCCCATACTGGGACGAAACTGTCGTTCAGTGCATTCAGGTTTCCAGTCGTAGTCTAACTTAGATAGGCATGAAAATACTGTGGTCTCCACAAATAGACCATACTAACAAATTAAATAAATACAACTCTCACTCATTATTTGTAGATTTGCAACTTCGTAATTAATACATTAAATAGGAATAATATATTTGTAAAATCTCAGCGAATGAATTTTTAAATTAAATCCAACGTTTCGCCTGGCAATCTGGTCCAAGCTTTTTCAAGGAATTATCAATGTCTTACTTCAACTCGGCGCTCAAATACTGTGAAACTATTCGTTCTAATTTAGACGAGAGTTCTTATATATTATTCTGCATTCGTAATTAATATTTTACACAATTCTACGTGTATTTAAACAGTGTTACATTTATTTTGATTGTTCAAAATTTGACTAGGAATAAGTACTACAGATAAATAGTAAATTTTAAATAGTTATGTAATAACTAATCACTGGTTTATACGTTAGTTGATTTTGATCTATTTATTTGGTCAGCGTGGGGATCATTGCTTATCAATTCTACTGATTCACTTTCACCTCTTAAAATATATTATTATTACTATCAGTATAGAAGTTTTTGGAGCTCATTTATTACTAAAATCACAAACCAACCAAAGTTGAACTTACATCGAAAACCTGGAATCACTGGATGGCTGCTTTGTCTTAATACAGGACTTTTTAGTAGCTGGTATCCATACCTTCACTGAGGATCCAACACTAGAAATTAGATCTCTCTTAAAAAACCCTAACCTTTAGACCCCTGAGTCGGTATTCAATGGTGTATGATCGACTTTGTTATTGCATATTGTTTCACATCACAAGTTATAAATTTGCAAATATCATATATAATACGATAGATATTGACATTATTTTCATGTGTTGTACAGTAATTAGTTGTAAACAAACTTAAGTTCTATAAAATTAGAAAAATCGGTTTCATAAGTTTATTTTGCGTACATATTATTCGATTAGTTTAGAAACCAAAGTTAACAGGTAGATTAATACAAATGAAAATTGGCACAACTTTTGTGCTACAATGTGATTTGTCAAGATTTGTGTAATTACACAATTAAGTGGAATTAACCAGAGATATTGAAAAGCAAAAAAAAGGAATTTGAAGTGAAAATTAATACAAAATTAAAATAAATAGTTGGGACTTATAAAATGGTGTGTTATTTTTATATTTTAAAAAAATGAATACAGAAAACATGATAATGTGGTAACTATATGACAAATAAAATTTACAAATACTCAATGAATCTGTATAGGACGAAACGGCCGTCCAGTGCTTCCAGGTTTTCCCTGGTGGTCTAGCTTCAATTGACTCACGCTTTCAACTATGAGAATCTGTGTAAGTTGATTACAATAACTATCTGCTACATTATACACTAAATATTTCGCCGCTTATTGGTTCATATATATGAATCATAAATCAGCTCATTCACTGGGTTCCTGAGTAAAGGCCACACTCAAACCGTGGTAAGGGAAAACCGTAATGCATTTTTGCTCAAAACTGAAGTAAAGGGAGTAGAATTCATAAGAAGTTGAATATTAACAACAAGTGTGCAGTAATAAAGTGAATATTATAGTTCATCAACAAAAAGAGAACAGAAATTATGAGAAGAAACAATAGAGAAAATAAATTTTCCTAATTAATTCATTTTTAACTCACTCAAATGATGGCTATTATGATAATTAAAATAAGAAGAGTGTACAAATTTCGTATGAACACAGAAGTCAAGTTTACGTAGCAAAGCACCACCAGACTGATATATTTCATTATTATTATTAAGCATATTTACATATTAGTGTAGAGCTGTGAAGGAAGACAGCAAATGTAGCAGCAGCCTCTGCATTGATAGGCCTCAGCATACACAAAAGAAGAAGCAAGATTCTCGAATACAACACAGAGAACACCAACGCAATCACACTTGATGGAGAAATTCTGGAAGAGGTAGAAACATTCACGTACCTGGGAAGCAACATTGACAAACAAGAAGGATCTTATGTAGATGTAAAGGCGAGGATTGACAAAGCAAGGGTAGCATTTCTACAACTGAAGAACATATGGAACTCAAAACAACTGTCAACTAATTTCAAAGTCAGAATCTTCAGTACGAACGTCAAGATAGTCCTACTGCACGGAGCTGAAACGTGGAGAACTACTACATCCATGGTCAAGAAGATATGAGTATTTATAGACAGTTGTTTACGCAAAATACTCAACATTCACTGGCCGGATACTATCAGCAACAGCGTTTTATGGGAGAGGACAAACCAGCTTACAGCTGAAGAGGTAATTAGGAAAAGACGTTGGAAGTGGATAGGACATACATTAAAAAAATTACCAATGTGCATCATGAGGCAATCCGTAACTTGGAATCCGGAAGGGAAGCGGAAGGCCAAAGAACACATTATGTCGGTAAAATAGAAGCAGATATGAAATGGATGGATAACAAATGGAAAAAACTGGAAAGGATTGCCCAGAACAGAGTTGGATGGAGAATGCTAGTGGGCGGCCTATGCTCCTCCACGAGGGGTAACAGGAGTAAGTAAGTAAGTTTGAAGGAAAATTCGTCGAAAACAAATATTTTTTGCTCTGTTCCACTTTTTAATCAACATTAGCTTTTGGTGAATTAAAAGTTATGTTATCTGACAGAATAATTCGTAACAATCTTCATAGTGATAAGTATTTTAATCATAGTTTAACTTGCAATCAAATGGGATTTTTAAAAACATTTCGTAATTCTACCACGGAAATTATACCATATTGAGAAATAAATTTTATCTACCATCTGGAGATAACATTCCAATAAAAAATAATATTATGACTTTAGCTTGGTTCCCAGAAAACTGATTTAAGTTAAGGAAAACAAGAGTAAATGTGCGAACACAACGACATGTTATAGAGAACAAACATACATTGATATTATGCATAAATACTACTAACCGATCACGTAATACAAGTCTTATGTTGTTAGGAGTTGAACTTTTCAGTATTTCCATAGACCTTGTCCCTGAACAACCGGTAACTAGAATATCATTAATCTCCAGGACTTGATCTCCAAAACGCACACCGCCAAGTGCAGCTGGTGAAAACCCCTCCACAAATGAAACAAATATACCCTATTGAAGTAAAAAAAGAGCTGAGAGCATAAAAGCCAGGTGTATACTTTTTGACACATCATAAAACAAAGCATACTGCTAATCGCAAATTAGACATTTTTGTCAAAGTTCAAATGCTTTACGGATATTAGCTATAACCACAACAATAAGCGACAGATTAACACTAAAACTGAAGCTCGGATATTTTTAAGTTTAGAAAATTGTTCTGTTTGATAAATATAACAGAAAAAACCTATCGTTTAAGAATTTTGGCAAAATGAATCTTATTCAAAAGAGACGCTTTCACAAGACTTAGATATGCTTTAACACATCAAATTCAGTCAGTCAGTCACAACGTAGAACTTCGTACGTACGTACATCAGTTCAGGTTGCCATACCACATTAGCACAGAGATGCACTTGCCCATTCAAATCCCATAGTGGTAGAAGTAGTAAGAGTATAAGCAGTAATAGGGAAGATTAGGGTTTGAAGATGTTATTCAAGGTGTATAATCCAGTGAAATAAATTTAAAAAGAGAAAAAAGATAGAGACATGAAGAATTCAGAAGATTAGAATTTGGCAGAACACAAAGAGTGGATGCACTTTCGCCATTGCAAACGATTTTGAGCCATATCATTCAAGGTCTATAACCATCGATTGCTATCATTTCGCAAATCCCAACCAGGCAGTCTAAATCTACCAGCATGGCTCAGTTCAATTGTTAGTTACTTCATGGATTTGTGCCCTCTTCGGTCTGGCCGCCCCTACCTTTCTTCCAACCTACTCCTACACCACAAAGCATTGCACGTCAGGACAGCCGGTAACATACGTACATACGTAACACGTGTCCCAGCCATCTCAACCGATCAAGTTTCACTACTTCATCAATCGATTTGCTATCATTACCTAGTACCCGTTTCCTAACAACTGCATTACTTACTCGGTGGTCCCAGGATATACGAGCAATGCTTCGAAGACACCTATGATGGAATACTAGTAACCTACGAATATCCTCTACTCTTACCGGCCATATTTCACTGCCATAAAGTAGGACGGAACGAACTGCTGCACAGTAAACCCGTCCTTTTGTTGCTAGACGGATATCTCACCTACGCCATAAATGATGCAAGTTGGTCAAAGATAGACGAGCTTTATGTATCCGCGCTGAGATTTCGTCACACACTAGACCACAAGGGTTTATGAAACTCCCAAGATAAGTGAAGCGGTCAACACGTTCAACTTCTTCACTCCCTATCATTAGTTCAGGTGTCGATGCAACCCAATCTTGAAGTAACATTTTGCACTTCGAGGGGTGAAATCGCATCCCGATCATGCCTGCATAGTTGCTTATAGTGGTCAGAAGACTCTGAATTTTGTCAGCGTCTTTACCGAATAAAACTATGTCGTCGGCGTATTCTAAGTCAACATGTAAGCTTCCCGGTAAAAGTTCAACTCCTGGAGATTTAGATGATGAAAGTGTTATCTCTAAAAGCATGTCAACGACAAAGTTAAACAAGAATGGAGAGAGTGGACAACCTCAACGAACACCACTTGAGGTAATCAATTCTGATGACGGTTTGCCATAAGCTCTAAGTCGACCAGTTGTGTTCGAGTAGAGAGCCTTTATATGGTTGATATACTTCTTTGGTACTCCTTTCAGTGACAAACACTGCCATAAAAACTCACGATCAAATGAGTCAAATGCCGCCTTAAGGTCGAGAAATACTACTGTTGTGGGACGTCTGAATGTGTGGCTATGTTCTAGCACCTGACGTAGAATGAATATCTGGTCTATAAAACCACGTCCAGGTCGAAAACCAACCTGGTTTTCTCTAGTCTGCTCTTCATGAGCTTCGGTTAGGCGTCGAAGTATTATTGAAGTTAATATTTTAGACACTATATTAGTCAAACTGATTCCTCTGTGATTGTCACAAGAGGACTTTTGTCCTTTCTTATAGACTAGCACAATCAGTGATTGCGACCAGTCAGATGGAATTACTTCCAGTTCCCAGATCCTACCTAAGACCACAGTCAATTTTTGTGCTAGTACTAAACCGCCATCCTTAAAAATCTTAGGGCTAAACCTGTCAGGGCCTTCCGCTCTCCCATGCTTCAGATGAAACATCAAATTACATAAGCATTATGCTATACTATTATATTTATACATCTATATGTTTACAAAATAATTAATTACTCAAACCAATGTGGATTTTGGAGATGCATCCACTCTTTGTGTTCTACCAAATTCTAATCTTCTGAATTCCTCATGTCTTTATCTTTTTCTCTTCCCAAATTTATTTCACTGTACTATACTCCTTCAATAGTTTCTTCAAACCCTAATCTTTTGGATTTCTGATTATACTCCTACTACTTCTACCACTATGGGTTTTGAATCGACAACTGTATCTCTGTGCTAATGTGGTATGGCAACTCGAACTGATGTACGTACGTACGAAGTTCTACGTTGTGACTGACTGACTGATGTGGATTTTGGGAGCGATAACCAAGATTTACTACATGTTTGTTGAAGGTGAAGCCGAAGGATGAATTATTCTGGACATCCAAAGCTTTATGGCTCCATGCACCTTTAAATGAAGCCATAGAACTATATGGCTTACCTCACAGACAGTTTAATCTAAGTTCATCTGGTCTGAACAGACACTGAACTAAGCACTACTCAATTATTTGAAAACCTGTTGCATTTAAACTAACGTATTATGAACAAATAAAACTTAATTATCTCGAACGGTAAAAATAACACCCGCTCGAATCGTAAACTTAAGGTGTTAACCGAAGCCTCTTCTATTTCATTGAGAGGCTTTGGATCCACCAAGTCAGCAGTCATCTCTGCTATGGGACATATGTATTTTTAGTCCGATGCAACCATCATTGTACTTTACCCCCTCATTATTTATATTTTAGAATTTGAGTTTACTATATTTGATTACTTTTTTATGTTGGTTTGTTCTCTGAGCTGGATGGTTTGGTCGTGGAGCTTTCATCGTCCTTCTGAACGACATCATCAGCACAAACTTCGGGTAGAAGTACTTACTTTTTGTTCGCATATATTTGATCAGTTTACTTACTAGTCACTTCATTTTCACAGCCGACTTAATTCAGACTGACTCATGCACTCAACTATTTTTTACCTAATATCTGATATGATTATTAATAACAATACTACTATTTTTATAGATTACTTATATCTTTATTTTTTTCTATTAACGGCCCCATATCCTTTCTCTTACTCCACATGTGATTTAGTTCAAGTTATCACTACATACAGGATAGCCCGGTACCTGAAATTGCTAAGGAAGGTACTTCCATTACAACTCCAAGCTAATAATCTGTACACAAAATGTATATATGTAAACCTGGTTACTATAATGACTGTTGAACTGGGCTCGAAAATATAGTGCACGATGAAAATTGATTCAAAGTATGTCTTTTATACATTGATCTACCTACTTTATTGTAGCCGGAATTTTAAACGATGAAAAAATATTTTTTAATTTCACGAAATATTGTATCAGACTAGCAGTTCACTAAACTGCAGCTGTGTTACAGCATAGAAGTTTAGAAACGGTAGAAATAAAATAACTTCCTTTTTAAAACACATACTAATTGTATTACAGTTCAAATAAATTGAGTCAACCTGATTAGTCTAATGAAGTAAACGGTCCTCGCTTTATGGAATTTTAGTAAGGTATTTCTGAGAACGTATAGTCTGCAAGATTAAATCTCGTACTTGCATGGACCATTTATAAAAATAAACCTCCTATTTATGTGTTCTATGAAACTTTAAAGATAATTTTGCTTCGTTTGTTCTGAGACCTTTCGGTTACACTTAATATACAGAATATATTTACTTATTGACCACGGTTCACTGAAAAACGGTTCGATTTGCTAAGACAGATCAATTATTAAACGCCTTGATAAAAAATGACTCATTTATCTAGTTTTATTCACATTGAGTGAATTTTACAAAATGCTTTTCACATACGTAAGATGTATAAAGAAATCAGGTTCATAGAGCAAGGCGAAATGTCAAAAAGTCTGAGATAATTAAAAAACTAATTTAGGAGCATTTTGTGAGGGTATCGGTTTTTGAAACTGATTTTCTATCAGGAGAAACGTCACGATCATACCTTGTGATCTGATTTAATAGTACATCCTGATCATATTCGATAATTATATAATGGTCAGTTCTCAAGCAGTGATCTACATGTTAACTTTATATCCATCTCTGTTTACTCCTGTTCTATCAATTGTTTCATTTTAACATTTACAGGCCATTTTTTACTAAAGGACCTGTTGATATAACTGTGCACACCATTTTCAGTTCAGTACTAAAAATATAACCGTTTGAGTTATCGTAAGATTTACGTCATAATAATTAGACTTACTGAGTCTCATTTTTTAACAATGGACGCTTTATGATTGTTGTGCGTCTCTCCAACAAAACTAAGAATGCATTCTATTTCCTTCATTTAGAAATTATGACTTGATGACAATGCACCAAATAATGTGGCTAGTCTGCTTTTGCTTCAAGTTGTCGATTAGTGACAAGATAAAGTGAGGTAGCTTTAGAGAAGATCAAGCACATGTTTTTCAATAATCCAAACTTCATTTAGGATTATGAAATATATGAGAATATTTCAAGTTTTATCATGTTACTGTTATCAAATAGAAATAGATATAACCACTTTCTATTGGATGTACTCCTAATTACCAACTTCAATTAGTTTCAAACATATAACATTTAAGATAACACTACTCATGTGAGAACATTTTTCTCAAAACTTACTTTCTGAATTTCCTTAAGCTGAATTCCAACTTTACCGAATTCATTTTTACAAAGAGTAACAAGTCTAACTCCTGGTTTTATATCTACGCAATCAAATGGTGCTGGAAGTGGTAGACAAAGTGCCCCGCTTGGTGAAAAAGGGGCAATCGACATTGAATTGATCCCACACTCCATACCAGCTTGAGAAAAAATGCCAGATACAGTAGACCCATAGGTAACAGATACACCACAATTGTTGTAAGACATATTATTTTCCCCATTGCGATTTCCCATTAGAGTAGGGTTCCTTTGTGGTAATGGTCCTTGACAATTAGACTGCACAGTGGTCGGTCCATTGCCTTGACTTTCAAGTATAGTCTGTACTTTTAACTCTTCGAGAGAAGGGTATAAAGACATCTAAAAAACACGTGAACATGGTATTTCATGAGTATTTTCACTACTACAAGGTATACAGGAAACAAATCAGTTGTCAAGATTTTTCGTATTAATCATATAAGGCTTTATTGTATTCGAAATTCTACTTGTCAAGTAACTGAGACTATGAACTGTTTCTAAAAAAAGTGAGAAAGCCCAAGCCATTTATGTGCCGGTACAGCAAGCGAGGTTCGGTGCATAAAATGTCTATCAAATATTCATCTCAAATCTATCTACGTAAAATCCGATTTACTTAATTCGGAGTTTTCAATATTACTTCAAAAATTAAAGTTGAATAAATATCATGTTGAATTCTTAGCTCAAAACATTATACCTACACCGTTTTCCTAAAACAAAAAGTCGCAAAACTGCTCTACTTGCGCCAAGAATAACTACTTTATCCTATTGATGTTTACTTTCTTAAAATATATTACGGTACAGAGACTATCATCTGAACGTAAACTTTTGAAAGTTTAGTTACATACTGTTCGACGGAATAATTATTGCAAAAATTACCCGACCAAACTTGATATCACTTGTCTGTTGCTAACTTAGGTGCCAAAATGAAGGAAATCTTTCTAATGTACCTCAGCTATATTGAAGAATTATAGTGGGGAAGATATGTTTATTACCTGGGTTAACTAACTTGATATAAATCTTGTCAGATAAAAACAATAATAATTTTGACATACGCTTCAGTCACACAGTTCCGAAAATACCCTGGGAAACCCTTTCTGGTCTACTTGAAAAATAACTAATTAAAAAGACCGAACAAGTGACAATACCACAGGTTCATATATTCGGGACAGATAAACAAAACATGATCTGTGATACATATATCTAGTATCTTTGTAGAAAGTTTGTATCGTTTCACTGATTTATCTAAGCCCTATTCTTCTTGTTGCGGCATGATCCCTTGGTTTTTGTATCATTCAATGTGGGTAGTACGACCGTCACGGTGCACTAATCCAAGTGAATTTGATATGTGATTGGTCGTTCATACTTCCCGAGAGAGGAATTAGTGTATTTAATCAAGGATATTGAAACCACTGCAAACAGTAGTTATCACATTGACGGGTAGTGCACTAGCTGTGGCAATATGCATATTTACAAACTTCGACTATGAAGTAAAGGCATAACGGTCACAGAAAGCAAATAAAGGTCCAATAATAACAGATAAGTGAAGGTGAAAAGATTTGAAGTGAACAGACATGGACTAATGACAATAACGACAGGAACATGGTGTCAGTAATGATTAGATGACAGCCTGTGGCATTTCTAGGATTCCAGCCGGTCTCAAGTCCGAGTAAATGAGGATTGAAAATGTAGTCGGCAACCCCATCTCGTGGAAAACAACGTTTCTGAAAATAGTAAACATGAACAAAGTATTCAAACAATTTAAACTCTGCCCTCCAAGTTCAAGGAAGAATTATGACGCCTCGGGATGAAAGCAGAAACTCCTGGGAAATCACGAGGCCGCTGTCCCTTCTAACAACCAGAATAACAATCAATAAAGGTACATGGAACGTTCGAACAATGTGGGATACCGGGAGGATAAAACGAATAGCAACGGAAATGCGAAGATACAACTTTTCAGTACTCGGAATCACCGAAACCCATTGGACACAAGCTAGACAACAAAGGCTAGATATGGGAGAGTTGCTGCTGTACTCCGGTCACAAAGAGGAAAAATGCTCCACACACTCAAAGGGTTGTTCTGATGCTGTATAAAGAAGCACGAAATGCGCTTATAGAACGAAAACCTCACGTATTCAGGATCACCGTAGAATCATCCAAAACAAAGAAGGAGGGAATGTTGGATCTTTATTTATCGACCTGGCTAAAGTGGGTGAACTTCATGCGACAGATAGATCACGTTATAATACCTCGAGGAATCAAGAATAGATTCGACGAACCTAACGCAAGGGTGGAATTGCATTTGCATAGCGATGCCTCAGAGGTTTGTTATGGAGCATTAGCTTACGCACGAGGCAGTTATTTAAAGGAACCACCATATTGTGTCTTGTTGTACAGCAAGTTTAGGGTAGCACCTATCAAACCGATTACTACACCGGGGCTAGAGATAGCAGCAGCAGTTTTAAGCGTAAGGCTAAATGAAGTTTTACAAAGAAGGTTCCAGTTACCTAAATGTTATAACAATGTAGACAGGACGAGTAAGCGTACTGTTGTAAGTCGTACCCGTTCTTTTAGTGAGGAATATGCGATTAGGTGAACTATGGCGAAAAGGCCATCAGAATAGCTTGTGGAGTATGGAGGGATTTGGGGGGCCGGTGTTGGATCCATTTTGAAAGTGAAAATCCCTCCATGCATGCATTTGTGATTTCTTCCTTACGTTTTCTTTATTTGTATATGTTGTTAACTTTTTTGATGATAATTAAGACTGTAACGTTTAATTTTCTTGGTTTGTTATTGTTTTTTATTGAGACTCTATGTTTCTCACTGAACTGTATCTAGTTTGTTTTAAATGCTATTATTCTGGCGGCTGCCATATTGACTGCTCGCTTTTTGATTGTGCAGTTTGATTTTGACTGGGATCGTGCATTTTTGATTGTAATTTGGAGCACTTTCCCAGAAATTGAAACACTTTGTGTTATAAAACAGCCGCTCAAACGGAATCTTACTTTATCTATCTATAAAGGATAGAATAACGCTTACCTTTTGGTGTTTTCGGTAATTTTTCATATATTTCGTACCACTTTGCTATTCATTGTAGTTTAGATTGAATATTTTGGTATCAATTGTCGGTTGAATAACTGGGTAGTAATATTTGTTTAGGCAAATTTGTACATTTATATATATGATGAAATTTAAAACCGTTATTAGTCGAAAACACTTTGTTTTGACTTCTATTGAAACGAGTTTCTAAACTTTTACTGTAGTTGCTCAACCACATCTAGACCTATTGGAATTTAGGTTTGGATCTTACAGGAAATTACAATGAACAACATGGGCTGGGATAAAGGAACGAGAATGGTGACAGGTTTGCAAATATGCATGAATTTAGCAAGAAGGACAACTGGAAAGGGACCAAAGAGGCACTAACTTCAACGTGTCAAGAAATGCTGGGACATAAGAAGCATCATCATGAGGAATCGATATCTATGGAAACCCTGGACAAGATTCGAGAAAGGGAGAAGAAGAAGAAGACAGTAATTAACAACACTCGGAAAAGAACAGAGAAAGTCAGGGCACAAGCCGAATGCACAGGAGCAAACAAGCAAGTGACGAACGGTATTGGAGCTAACAAGTAGAAATATGAGGAGGAACTAGCAACGACAGAGAATAATGCCTAGTGTTGAAGTCTGTCCTCCTAATATTTGTGTTTACAACATATGACTCAGTTGCGTGCCTCTGTACTTGATATGAAAGATCTATGTCTCTTTTGAAGAGAGAGGGCACAACAACATTTTGAACTTCAAGATGGGGTTGTGTTTACATTTTAAATATTGTTAAGAACAATTGTGAGGTGATTGCGCCAAGTTGGCTTTGCGTTTGCCTTGGCTACACCTCCCGTGTAGTTTGAGCAGGTGTCTAATCTCTTCGTGGCTACAAATTCGAGACAATCAGGACCCAATTTCACGATTTACGTAAGTGCTTTGTGTCAAATGATACAGAACGTCTATAACATAAACTTTTGACAGATGAGGTGTAACACGTAGAATCGGCGGTTAGAAAACAGCAGGACAGATGTGAAAAACAGCACAGCACACAATGTTTAACGAGGACTTCACAACAAGAGAGAACACAGTGGGAATCACGAGCCTCTTTATTTCAAAATCGAAAAGTGCGGCGCGCGAGAGTACAGCGGGAAAAGTCAGTTTACAAAGTAGTCTTATGAGTCATCCTGTAAGTTTAGTGTACATAGGGCTTGGTCTTCTTTCTTCAAAGTGTTTATGTTTGATCGCTTTGCAATAGAAAAAAAAGAATCTGTTAGTACATTATACATGGCAATTTCAACTCCATTACACTGCTCCCTCACTTAAAGGTGCACTGTCCTCAGTGCCTGGTCTCAGACATGGATATGCTGTCCCTCCTTCTGATGGTACCTCATAAAACGTAGTGGCAGGTGATGGATTGATGAACTGGGCATCCGAGGAAACTGTCATCCGATCTCGTTTTATTTGGTTATAGTGTACAGTTATCACGTCATCCTGGGGTCGTTGCAAGTTACGTAATACGAACTTAGTGAGGGATCAGATGAGGGCGATTTCAAAGGGGCCTTGCCAGAGCTGATGGAATTCACTGAAACTCCCTGACGATGTCAAGGGACGACGTAGCCAAACGCAATCACTGACCGTATACACCTGTCCGTGCACCTGACGATCGTACATGTCCTTTTGATGTTCACTAGCTTTGTGCAAATTGATGTTGACCAAGAGGTATGCATCAGCCAAGCGGTTACGGAGAGTACGTATGTACGGTACCTGCTTTTGTTCTTCTCAGGGCAGCAGGGGCGTCTGTATCTCTACTGGTAGGTGTAATTCGTGCCCGAATAATAAAATAGCGGGTGAAAACCCGGTGGAACCATGTATCGATGCACGATATGCTAAAAGACACTGGGGAAGCACATCATCCCATAACTCCTGCGACGATCTGCTCCCAAACGTTTGCAATATGGCTTTAATACTTCTGTTTGTTCTTTCCACCAACCTGTTACCATCTGGGTGATACGCAGTGGTGCGTGTCTTCCTGATTCCTAATAGCTGGCATATCTCGGCGATGGGGAGACTTAAAGGCTGGACTTTGATCGGAATGAAGTGAGAAGGGGGCGCCATAGCAGGAAACCCAATGATCTATGAAAGCTCGAGCAACCGTAAGGGCGTCTTGCTTGGGAATGGGTACTACTTCGTACCGTTTAGTAAAGCAATCTACCATAACTAGGATGTAGCGATTCCCTTTCTTTGTTGTTGTCAATGGTCCCATGATATCTATGCGGACTCCTGGTGTGGTCCTGTGGTCACCATCGGAGTTAACGGTGCACGAGGTGTCTGTTGAGGTGATTTGAAATGGCAGCGCGTGTTTCAATTTTGCAAAATTGCACTACACCTTCATTTATAGATGGCCACCAAAAACGCTGGCGGACAGTGTATTCGGTCCTTCGTTCTCCTGCATGACCAAGTTCGAGGTACACCTGCTCCAAAATGCTCTCAACTTTTATCCGTGGTACTATCAATAGAGGTTGTCTCGCTTCGTTAATTAGGAATAACGTGTCACCATATAATTTTAGATTGCTCCATTTGGTACAAATACGACGAACTGTCAATGATTGATCCTTTAACTCTTTCATGGATGGCTTATTGTTTCCTTGTAACTGTCTTTGGTATATAATATGCATATTTGGGTCTGCTGCTTGCAGGGAAGGCCAATCAATCTCTAGGGCTGTGCTAAAAATTGCATTAACAGTACCTGCGGTTTGTAGTATGCGGGAAAGGGCGTCTGCTTTTGTATGTCGGCTTCCCGGTCGATACTCGCATGTGAAATCTAACTCTTGTAGTCGTTCTTGCCAGCGTGCCACTTCCCCCTCTGGTTCGCGGAAGGAGCGGAGCCATTGTCATGCACGGTGGACTGCGCGTACACGGAAAGGTTTACTCAGTAAATAATGGCGGAAGTGTTGTGAGAATTTTACTAATGCTAACATCTCTCGACGCGTTGTCGAATATCTTGATTCGCTCTTATCCAGTTGACGGCTAGCGTACGCAATGACTCTTTCTTGCCCATCTCGAGCTACTTGTGATAGAACTGCTCTAATAGCCGAGGAGCTAGTATCCGTATCAAGTATAAATTCGCCGCTGCCTGCTAAGGCATCCGGGGAGGTCAATATGGGTGGAGAGCTTAATCATGTCTTCAAAGCATCGAACGCCTGATAACACTCTGCAGTTCATAAACGGTACCAGGAGAAACGCATTGTATTTGTTGCTTGGGTTAGCGTGATACACCAGAATGGTTTGTATCCAGAATCTGAAGGTTGCGTTCGCAGGGATCCGGACCAGAAACGCTGCAGACGTAGGACGAAACCAGATTGAACCTCAAAACCAGGTGCGACCAGAATAACCACGTTGGAGACTAAATATATACCATACGTATTTGGAGCCAGGGAGATCGACTGAGTGCGTTGACTAGAGCGTGGGTGATCAGGCCAGCTTTCGCCAGGGTTGACTGAAGTTAACGACACCAATACGGCGATCCTCGGAGGCTTAGACCCGGAATAAATAAAAAATCAAAGAAAAAGAGAAAAGTGTAGCATGTGTGTAGTATAGAGATAGAGTCCTATACCGTGTCCGTTGTCGGTTGTGAGGTTAGTGGTGAAAACGTACGGATAGGCGCACTCGTCGACCGGGACCCAAGACAGTTGTCTCGTTCGTACCTCGTGAGACTGCAATCTCATCCGTAGTCGATAGCGGCGTGGTCTACAGGTTTGCACGTGAGACTGAAGTCCTGTTCGTAGACGGTGCAGATTACACGTGCTGTTGACTGGGACGTGAGAATGAGGTATCGGGTGTATCTAGCGTGGGATCCGAAATGGATGTGGAGATCCCGCTAGAAGATTTGGTGGGTCTAGCATTGAGTTTCGGCTTATCAGGTAGAGCGATGTCATTGACGTGTGTTGGCTTGAGACGATCAATGCTAACTGCCTCGACGCGGCCATGTCGATCAACCTTGAAGGTCTTTTCGTGATGGGAAATCACGTGAAAAGGGCCTTCGTAAGGCTCTTGGCTCAGATTGACTGTAAGCTGTCGTGTTCCATAGGTAGTAATGACTAAGCCATTCGCAGCGCGTAGTCGAAGCATCGTAGCTTGGGATTTACTGTAACCAACAGGTACGACAGAAAATTGGGCACCTGTATCCACTAGGTACCTAGCGTTAGTGCGATAATCGTGCACGTAAAATAAGCTGCCAACCTGAGGTGAAGGTCTGGTGAGTACGGCCGTATTTACTCGCCGACTCAGGAGTGTCCCGCCTTGTATGAGCAGGGAACTCGACAATGGCGGGCAACGACCTCTAAAGCACAGTGGGACCAGCACCAACCTGAACTCGCTTCCGAAGCCGCCTTTTGGCGTGGTTTGGAAGATGCCCGCTTAATGCGAGTTGATACGGATTTACGGTAACCCGGCCTGGGTAGGGGGAAGTAGGGTTCTGGCATGTTAGATCGGTCTCTGAAGCTGAGACGGGTATGGATGCACTTATTCCTGTCCCCATGAGTCGTAGGTTAACTAGCATCTAAGTCAATGTTTGAGAGTGATAATGAAGCAACTACGTAGTTATTTTGGATGCTAATCCGCTCTAGGATCTTATCTGCTATGAGGGCCACCTTGTTGAGTGGAGTGTCCTTGAGGAGAGCCGTAAGGGCTGGTTGGATACTAGCTGGTAGAGATTCCAGCCACAATTCTTTGATAATCTCTGTGTCAGCTGTCGTATTTCCCGCAAGAGATTGCAAGCGCGTGAGATGGTGTCTCAGTTTAGCATCACCCATGTAGTGACGTGCTAACAAGGCCCTCACTCATTCGCCTTTGAGGGGAGGAAGTGTCTAAGGATTGCTTCCTTGAGACGATAGTAAACGTTTGTTACGTTTGAATTGAGGACAACTTCACGAACAGCGGTTAAGTGATCCCCGGGTAAAGATTTCAGAGCATAGGCATATTTTTGCCCTTGGTTCGTTAAGCGGCAGATCTAGAATTGAGATTCCAGTGCCGCGAATCAAACTTCTGGATCTTTAGGGATGAATGGAACCGATCGAAAGCTAATTGCCTGTACTTCCGAGTCTATCATATTAATATTATTCTTATCGTTATCAACCATATTAAGTTGTTACTAGAATATTATATACTGAAAAGTATCAATAGGAATACGTGCAACAGAAGTGGATAGATAAATAATAGACTCATCGTTTTGAACTTGTTTGAGAGATTTGCCGAATTTGAATTGCGTTCGAAGAGTTGGCTCACCAGATGTAGATGACATCGAGTCTCAATTGACTATGATCACCACTATAGTAAGATTACGCGCCCAAAATCGACTTGGTTCCTTCGCTAGCTCGTAAACCAGAAGGCTGTAACTGGTTCAGATAAAGTATATTCATTGGCGACCTCGTGGTATCGAAAGAATACAGAGATGTGCCGACGAGAACAGGCAAAAAGGCAGAGCGTAAGAAAGTTCGAACGGACAAGGTAGGCGACCGAACGAAAAGTGATTTTGATACGGTTAAACAACAACGAGTATAATGAAACAATCACTGGTACAATTGGTTATAATGATAATTGTTTCCATCATACCAATCGCGTTCTTGTCTAGAAAAACAGGTCACTACAACCCTGGGCGATAAATTAGGTTTGCGTGGAAACGTTGAGTTTAGATCCACTTTTGAAATTGTATAGGGTGACTTGAAACCGCTCAAGGTCGTGCGCTGGACATCCTCACAAACTTCGTGCTTCAATGATATTAGTTTTAATGATTTCAGCCTAATGCATCCACTTCGATGATTTATGCCTCTTACCCTATACGATATTTACCACCAGAAAGTTAATCGTTATTTAAGGATTTCCCCTACCGAATTTCACACGTTTTAGGGGTAATTTGTCTTTTCTATTCATGAACTGATCCGCTTATATCTAATATTCCATTTGATTTGTGCAGCAATATATCTATTCTAAAATGTTGAGTGGTAGTTGTCAATTTAATATGTGATGGTATTTGAAACAAATTTTCAGAGTGTTGCAGATATCGTTACCGTTGCAGTCATTGGAAACTTCGGAATTACTTAGCTTTCTGGTAATTATTATTTCATTTAAGTAAAACCTCATGAAAATCTATCGCAGGTATTTCGGTTTGGGTAATAATTTCTCATATGTGATTATGCTAAGTGCAGCTGTGGATATAATACGAAAACACCAACACGTAAGATGGTTGTTTCCGAAAGTATTTATAATTTGTCTCAGTGAAGCCATTTTTGACGGGAATTTATTTGTTAAAATACTTCGATCATTAGATTGTGTCCAACCTCTTCCATCTATTTCAGCCTTAGTATTTAGTATCGTAATGCCTCACAATCCGAAATTATATTGCAAAGCCGTGCATGTAAATCTGTTGCACTATCTTCTTAGATAAATTTGGGCTTGGTGGGGGATGACAAAGTTTATATCCATTTTTTAGCGCTTTTGGTGTAAACATTTAAGCCTTCACGTGTTCATGAGGGCCAGTGATCCTATCCAGTTGTTTAGAATTAACTTGATTGAGTGGGGTTTAAACCTGAGATTATTACGCCTTTGATCAGTTCCACACCATTAAATCCGAACTGGCAAGAAAGTTAGTTAAAACTATTCCGCATAAAGATTTGATTATTAGCGAAGTTATTTCATTTTGATAGCCCTATCTAGGGTTATTCAGTTCGATCCAACTGGTTCAAGAACACTAATGACGTTGGCTGAAAACGCATATTCCGCAGTAACTGTTGAATCTAGTGTTTAATAAAAGTGTCATGGAATTCACTTTAAATTATTGACAAAGGTTGGTCGATTAGGTTAATTCTTTTAGTTAATCCTTTTAGTATTATAGCGGACTTTTCCAGCAGTATGACGCAAAAGTTCCCACTCACGCCTAAATAAACGCGAAAGCTTCGTAACTACTTAGTTACTACTTTTTCATGTAGTTACAGTAAGTATATGAACTATGTATTGGATCTTCTTCACTCGTTGGAAATAATACCTGTTGACTGATTTTGAATCAACTTTCCATTTTTATCCTTTCATTTCATAGTCGCAGATCGAATTCACTACGAACATCAGTACATATCACATAAATTGTACAGAGATTGGGACGGGGGTATGATTTTTGTTGTTTTCAACTCTTTCTTATAGAGTGTCCTGTTGGCAGATATACTTCCAAGTATGATTTTCAAGTTTATTTCCCCAATATTTATACAAAAACTTCATTTCCAGTAAGTTCTCTCTTTAAATCAGTTTAACCTTGACTTATCATCCGATTTCCTGGAACATGTAAAATAATCCATAGTCTACCGTGATCATTGTGTAATAACAATCACCATATTTGTCCAGTCAAGTTGCGTCCACTATCCTGAGCGACATGAGATCACCTGCAAGAGGTTAGTTATGGCAGGAATAGCTTATCGATAACGTCTCAAACTATCAGGTTGGGTGACGCGGATCCGAATCTAACGGTGAGCATAATGCTCTTAAGGTTGCAAACAAACCTTGTTGACAAGCTCCAGTTACCATTATCACTATCTGGAGTTTCTTACCGACTACTTTCAATCAGTTAAAATCTTAGTGAGAGCCATTATAGTGTTTGTCGAGATTGTATTAACTATTACAGTTGATGTATGATAAAATAGAATATTATGTTTCAGCATCCAGTAGCTGTAAGCTTTCGCCAATTATGGTAATCACATTAAATTTCTGTCAAATCTAGTTTTGATTCGAAAAGTAACATTTAAGTTTAGCAAATTCTTTCGAAACTGCTTGGTTTTTACATTTTATAGTAGGTTAGATAATTTCTACGAAAGTTGCGTGTTAGGGGATATTTACTTTTAACAGCCTGCCGATCTCTTTTTTTTAGCTTCAAAATTTTATGCGCTGTCCTACTGGCCATTAATAGTTTTTTGGTGGTTTCATTTTCTCAGTCTTTCTCTACGAGTCTTTTTGGTAAGCATTTTCGGCCTAATGTGATCAGTTTAATGTTTATTTCTTTTGGATCTGGGATCTGAGCTAAAGATCATGTAGGGAACATAATTCGTAGTGGTTTGCCTTTATTAGCCCTACTTTAATCATAACTTACTGAAACTACTGATAATAGTATTACCCTATTGATCAGTTGAGTAATACCAATGAAGAAAGTACTTATGTTAATTATTTGATGTATCGTAAAAGTGTTTTGAAACAATGTATTAATAAGGAACAAATCGGCAAACTGAAATTGCTTTGTTTCCAAGGGTTGTTGTTGGAATCCTCCGATTGTGATGCTAGGAATTGCAACAGATCAGTCTCCGTGCATCCTGAGCTTATTGCCTCCATGTTTCCATCTAATCACTAGCTTTTTTTAAAGTTTGGTAGTGGCTAGCATTGGAATCCAAAGACAAAATAGATGTGTTATATTAATTCATACGTTAGTATAATTTATGTAAATCCTTTTCTGGAAATGTATATCAGTTGCTTATATTGTATAAAGTGTATCGTGTAGTGAATGCGATTTTTATGAGATTAAATGTAATGAACGCGTTTAGTATTCTATTTATGTATGCAAATAGTGAGTGTAAATCGTGGTGTAATCTGTAATAATGATGAGTGAAATAGATTAATAATAAATAATTAAACCGACTAGAAACTGTCATTTCTTTTCTATGATCTTAACTCATTGTTAATTGATTCATTTCTTTCTGAAAAATATTTCTAGGGATTGTTTCTGCAAGTTTATCTTCAGGAATTGGAGACGTTACTTTCTTAAGCATGGTAGCTTTTTTTGACAAGTATGCTAATCAGCTTTCGACATTGTATCTAATTGATTTTCTTTGACTGACGACTTCTTAGTGGGTCTTTTTTGCGAGGTGGGATCGTAAACGTTTCTGTCAGCCCTTGTTTACTTGACCTTAGTACAGATAGTAGCTCCAGAAGGCTTTGGGTTGTCTATTTATATTCCATATTTACCTTATTTTTTATTTTATTTAGACACCTAAACATTGATGCAAGGAGGCACCAAATATATATGCACTAAATCATTCAATTTATGTGTGAGCTGAAATACTGCCCGGGTGCCCAAGCCGAAGCAAATGGTTTTCTTAGGGGGGCCACACCTTGAGCCTTTCACCTGGAGGTCTAATCCACAAGACAGTGGAGCAACTGTGGGAGCTGCAGTCCCATGGTATCCGGTGACCAACAATAGTTTCATACTCCGTTCATTCCCTGAGGATCTTGGAGTTCATATGCACCATTGGTTTGGATTCAATGTTTTCCAACTCCTCTCGGTGGATCTTCACCATCCACCAACCCGGTTAAAACACCCAACATTCGCTTTTCGCCCTCTCAAGTTCGTAAACAACAATAATGTCACGAGAAGGTAGTGAGTAGGACCTGTGTAGCAGTGGTTATATGCATGTGGCCATGTGAGTGCATTTTGAGAGAGTAGACCCTCCCCACTCCCGACCTTACCAGGGTGTTAGCAAGTGCAAGTCTTGTTGAAGTTGTGTCAAAATATTGTCTTGTATCTTTTATATTAATCATCCAAATGGTATTTCCTCAGTCTTATTACCCTTTGCACTAGTAATGACAAATTTTAAACTGAATTAAAATGCTTCGTTTTACATTTCATTGAGATTATTGTATATCAAGGTCCATCGGCCATTCCACGTTAAAAACAGTTACAGATTTCTGATATTTGTCAAAATGCTATAGTTTTTCATAGTCCACTCCACACATTCCATCTCGATTAAGAAATTCAGTAGGTAATATACTTTGCTTTTGATGCCTGTTCAAAACCTAGTTCATAATTAGTAAGAACGGTAGATTGACGTTGAGTAAAGTGACCAGTGTTACGTGTGCCTAGACTTTAGTGGTAGTTGAGTTCTATTGATCGAATTGCAGTTTGGCTACTAGTAGCGTACGTAATTAGACATCACCTACACCTCTTGTAAGAAGTTATTCGAGGCTGGAATAGCTCACTAGTAACATTTTAGACTGTGAACATGAATGAAATGTATTCATATCTCGAATGAACATCTGTTCCCTCAGGGTCTCAGGTAAACCTTGTTGATAGACCACAACCATCACGAAACCTAGTTCTCGAGTTTCTTACTGACTACTTTCAGTCAGTTAACATCATAATGTAAACCATTGGTATAGATTAGATTAACTGTTGCGGTTGACTTGTAAAATCCACTCGTTTGAGACTACGTTTAATTTTCTGACATAAGTCGTAATGGACTGTAATGTTGATGTGGTGACAAAATTTTGGCCTAACATTCATATCATAATTCATTGAAGATTACGTGACCTACAAAACTGATTTCATTTACTCCTCTATGATATCTAATCATGTTTATTTTCTTGTTAACAGTTTGCGTATAAGGAAGTTATCCTACTGGGTGAAAACACCTATTTTGCTCGCTAATAATATTATCTGTAATGTCAGCTCGTGCTGGGATTTGCAATAATAATCCAGTATTGTGAGCTGTTATCATACTATTACATTTCATCTGTCGATCAAGATTCTTTTCGTTCATTTAACAATTTTTAAACGTCTTTTACATAGAGTCATAAACACGAATATAATCACTTAGTTAATTGATTGCATTACAAACTTATAGGATTTTATCTACTCTAGGAACTCTATACACCTTAGTCTCATTAACCACCTAATCAACTATTCTGTGTTTGTATTCACTGATCTCTTATACAAAATACATTATTTTATAATTTCATCGGTACCTGATGTGAAGTAATCGACGATTATTTTTTTTCAACTTTGTTTCGGGGTGGGGTGGGGCGAACCCTTCTCTAGATCTTGTATTTCGGCTTGGTCATGTGGAACTGGTGCAGCCGGTCTAATCGGTTCACTTTATTATGTTGGCTTGACATCAGTAACAACACCGGAAATTACATTATGTATTGTTATTGTGGTTCCATGTACTACATTGTTAGTGTAAGTTGTTATATGATTATTTTATATTAAGATAACTCACAAATTTTCTGAATTACAAACGATCGAAAAATGTCTGTTCATGCAATTGAGATTTACATGTACTTTGAGAGAGCTTTCTTAAAACACTGATAATGATCTACTTTGTGAGATTGACTTCTTAAAATAGGAATTCAGGAAAAGCTTGATATTCGAAGAAGTCAACATTACGGTACAATAATTCTTTTTATACACAGCAACAACTTTGATCTTGGGATGCGGAACAAAAATAGTGGATCAAAAACTAAAGTGACCAGATAAATAATAATATGTGCTGAAACGAGTTTATCGAAAACTTTATTTGTTAAAACTACCATTTATTAACAAAAGCAATACAAAACTACATAATTTAAGGCCTTTCTAGCAGTAGTTTGGAAGGGTCTTTCATATCACTTTCTGTTAAAATCTGTTTATTACTAAAAGGTAACAAAAGTTGAACTCCCTTTCTTTTCCTTTATAAAACGCTATCTAATTAGTCCAGTAGAAATAATAAAAATGTTAATAAAATACATCCGATGCCGTTGTTGTTTAATGGTTGAAGTGTTCAATTTTCGGCCACTAAACCACTGATTAGAATCTCGCTCTATCTTCTTTTATTTGGACGACCGGGTAGTATCATTTGCTTTCAATACACTTCGAGTACGACTCTAGGCCAATTACAAAAATTTATACCTGTTAAATGAGTTGCGAATTCCGTTGTATATGCACAATGGAACGGTTGTTTGATGCTTTTCTCTGTCTACGTTCAATCGTTGTACAAACGTTTCAGACTTTCTTTGAAGTTATTGTTACTACTGTAGTGAACGAAAACTCTGGTATGATAAACCAGTTTATTATTTTATGAAAATCACACATTGCCTTTGCAAAATATAAAAATCATACATGGGGTACATCATTTGCACACCTTCCTTCAATTGTCCTTTACATACACCATCATTCTCTTAATTCTTTATCTATTCCGATTGCTCTCCGTCTTCCTTCTTACTCTTTTTATTTTAGTCTTCTGCTGGTAAGCATTCCACTACATACTATTTATATCTGTTCACATAAGAGGCTCACACCACACTATTACACATCTCGCCTTTATACATTTAGTTTAGCCAAAAGCTGAGTACACAATTATGTTATTGATCATTGAGTTAATTAATTGGCTACTACGCATATACAGAATATATAGTGTAAATACTATTGTTAGGTACTAAATTACTTTATTTTTCGTCTATTACGTCACATTTAATCTATTATCTGCGTACATTTAGTTTAAAGTCAAAAATATATGACACCATTATACGATATCTATCTTAGTTGTTTTGTTTTTTTTGCCAAAAAGTAATCGTCTATCATTTGATTGTATCGATGTAATGTGACCGAAATAGTCAGTTGTTCCTGGATTTCAACTTTAATGAGGTCAGCAACTGGATTTAGCGTCCTTTTATATTGTGAAATCATCGAACATCTCAATGCATTTTTAGTTCCAAGTTTGAATTAAACATTATAAGTTATATATAGTTGCCGCCAACCACCTAACATCTATTAGACGTAACTACCGTAACTAAGGAATTCACTGTTAAAGAGAGCAAAAACAAATATTGGTGCAGAATAATGTAAATCTATTTTCGTTAGGTTTTCATCAGCTGTTTACAACCCATAATATTTTAAAATCAACTTAAATTCAAAGGTGATTATATAAAAGGGTCATTCAACATGAGACTAAAAACTGCATTGATAAGAGCCTATCCTGCAGCTAAACTGATTATCTTGTCCAAAACAACATGTTTAACACAAAGATCGATAGATATCCCTTACATGTTGACATTAACTGTGTATCCAAATTAACATGTATCTTCCGAAGCAGTTACACTAGTAGGACAGAATGGGGAGTCTATGTCTGATTCAAAGAATATATTCCAAAAAGTCTGAGGTCAAGTGGATTAAAAGTATTCAGCAGTGCCATCTCGAGACATCTTGATACTGGATATCAGGTGAATACATTGAAGTCTTTCAAGGTGAATAATAAAAAGTCGAACTCCAATCTTCTGAAATTCGCCTAAGCGATAGCGATCAAACGTCTAAAACCAGATCTTTGTGTCCAAAAAGAAGCAGTAATAAATCTTTCTTTGCCCTGGTAACATTACATTTTTTTTACTGCATCATTCATTATATCAACTCTTTCTGTCATTTTTCTTCAATTCACAACTGACTGATTTCAATTCATATCTTTCTTTATTACCATTAATCTGTTTCCAGTTACTTCATTACACAATCATCTAATGCTTGTCAACCCTAACATTTTTTAACCAATAGTTCGATGTTCTGGAACGTTCCCTCTCACACTTTATTTAGAACATTATTTTTATTTTATTTAAACACATAATTAATGGTACGAGGAAGCACCAGATAAATATGCGCCTCACAAATTTCATTCGATTTGTGTGAGGGCTGTGTTACTGCCCAGGTGCCCAGACTGAAGCAGGTGGTTTTCTTAGAGGGCCACACCCGGAGCCTTTGATATATAGGTCTAGTCCACAAGGCAGTGGAGCATCGTGAGGAGATGCAGCCCCATGGTAGCCGGTGACCAACAATAGGTTCATACGCCATTTGTTCCTTCAGGATACTGGAGCCCATGTGCACTACTGGTTTGAAATCAGGGTTTTCCAACTCCCCTAGGTGAACTTTCCGTGTCCACCAACCCGGTTAAAGCACCGGACATTCGCTTTTCATCCTCTCACTTTCGTAAACAACACCCTTGAGAAGGCAGTGAGTAGGACTTCCCTTGCAGAGGCTATATATTTGCTGGCCATATGAGAGCATTTCGAGAGGGAGAGGTGACTCTCCCCACTCTCGACCGTACCAGGGCATTTGGGGGCAAGAAAAATTACTATGACCTAATTGACTCTATTGGAATCTTCGCTACGTCTCTAATCACCTTCATATTTATAAGCATGTCATTATCTGTAATAACTTTAACTTCAAAATATTATAGGTTGCAAGCAGTTGATGAGAACTTAACTAAATAAAATGGATTCTTGCTATTCTGCACCAATCTTTGTTTGAAATTTATTATTATTGATAATCAGCATATTAGTTTTTCTATTTCATATGGTTCTAAATTTATCGATTAGACAGTGTGATGTTGATCACTGAGATAGTTGATGTGGTAGTGGTGTACACTACATTGGGAATAAAATCCCGGAGTGCAATGTGAATCCTTTTTAGTAAGGAGATTGTGAAATTTCCATATGAAGTGGAAATGTGGCGTAATCACTCAATTTCACTACATCCCGCTGTTTACTTACAATCGTATGACAGGAAGAATAATAATTTGCAGCAGTTTTAGTTTTAAGGATACATTATCAGTGCGAAGAACATGTTGATGGTTAGGAACATCAAAAAGTAACCGTTTTATAAATGATTATAGTAAGTATAGTAATAATTACAAATTACGAACAATTTTCCTTTAGGTATTTCTTCGTTCTAGACAGACCTCATCATGAAAAATTTCGACTGTGTTTCAACCCTATGGTTTCATCGAACAATTCCACAATGTCAACAGAGAGGATAAATACGTTAGTAACTAGTGATGAGTCAGAGCACAGTAAGTTCCAAAAGTATTTATATTTATTATTTTAACTACTCGTTAAGAAAAAGTAGTTAGGTGTGAATTAATAAAACGTGTGCATTCCTGAATTTACAAAATACTAGTAGGTACAGCCTACAGAAACTATATATTCAGCGTACTTCTTACTGATGATCATTAAAAAAACATTTCTTGGATTTCTCGGATTTCACAATTTTTGGACATCACTGGAATATTTCTTAGCTATTCAATGATTTTACTTTGTACAAGCAATATTTTTCATATTTTGTTTAATAGCAAACACTTCCGTTTAATATATGTAGTTTCTTTCTCTTCCTACAAATGTATGTCATAATGGTGACTTAGTTGAGGTTGTAAATGACAGCGAGGTAATCACTCATTCTGATGGGTATATTCAACTGAGAAATGAAGATGACATGGTTTATCATGACAGTTCACAAATTCCGAATAATTCATCTCTACCTGTTCTAAATCAACAACAACCTACATGGAAAATAAAACTACAGTTGTTGAAGGTGGGCTTTTTTTCTAACATTTATTTGATATAAATGTATTTGTAACAGTATGTTCTTGAATAGGAATTGATCCTCAGCAGTGCAAGATCATAGGTCATTGATCGATTGGAGTTAGACATCAACACCGTTGGATTCTGACTTAGTGGTCTTGTAGTGCCGCGATTCGTTAATCGTTTACCTCGATAGCCGTATAATGCTAATCTTAACGGTACGTAAAATCAGAAGACAAAGGATAGCAGCAACTACAGTTTATTGTCGAATAACTCAGGTCAAAAAACTAACAACTGAGTGAATATTAACGAGCGAGCGGCAAGCGACGGAGCGAGTGAACAGGCAAACAAGCAAAGGAAACGAACGAACAGCAAGCGAGCGAATAGCAAGCAATTACATAGGCAATTCATAGTCAAATTTAATAAGGGCACAGCAAAGCAAAACAAAGGCTGATAATAGTATTTGCGTGCGTACATATATGGGGAGGAGTATGAGTCATCGAATGATATTTAAGCAGTCAACATTTTGGATAGAGCGTCATGTGCTCTAGTGGTATAGCAGTGCAAAGAATATGCAAATTGTTACTATCCTAATGACTATGTCTGTTAAGTAAGTTAATCAAAAGGGCTTAACCAAAATTGGCTATAATCGAAATTGATTGTAGGATGGTTGCTATAGTCTACAGCTTAAGCGTTTGAGTGAGATCGAAGGTCTGAAGCTCGATTCCAGCGTGCCGGGTTGTGGATGCGCACTGCCGAAGAGTCCCATACTGGGGCAAACGGGCGTCTAGAGCTTCCAGTTTTTCAATAGTGGTCTAGCTTAGATCGACTCGTGAATTTGACTGTAAAAATACTGCAATCCCCACAAATCGTCATACTGATAATAATCATGTGCACATTAGTTACTAGCTTCAAGATGGATTTCCTGGAGTTCTAGTTAGAAGCTGTGACTAGTGGAGTCCAATACGTGTTGGGTGTGAGACAGTTATCCATCTCAGACAATGGGTGAAGGGTTGCGCATCCATTCATGGATCGATTGAAGTTAGACATTAATTTCTATTTCTTGAATGCACATACACCCTGATACAACTCTTCAGCAAAATTGATCTGTTTTACATAAAACTAAAAGATAACATTGATAAGAAATAAAGGGAGATGGATCAATATAACTGAAGAAGTTAGTGAGTGACAATAGTGTTTAAAAAAAGATACAGTTCAGTTAACAATGCAACCAAGAAAGACTTTTCTCAGTTATTGAAGTACTTCTCAATTTTATCAAGAATACCAGACAAACCACGGTAGAATTCCCAGTGAACTTTGTTCTGATCTATGTATGACACTAAAGTGCATCATCCCTAGGACTTCAACTAAAGTGGTCATGATGATCTGATGGATGTTAGTCCTATCCATCTATCTTGTATACTTTAGTGTCATTTTATTAGCTGAGCCCTTCTCTTTTTCCGCTCATTGTCAGCGACGGAATAAGGTGTTCATTTTTCGGGTGTTTTTTGGCTCTCTAGTTGATGGCTGAAAATGTTTGTATTTATAGAAATAGAAAAAAGAATCATCTTTTTCACAATTTTTGTAACGGCCTGAATTCTCTAAAAATGTAACTTTATATATATATTATTTAAACACATAAATATTGGTACAAGGAAGCACCAGATACATATGCGCCTCACAAATCTCATTCGATTTGCTTGAGGGCTGTGATACTGCCAAGGTGCCTGAACTAAAGCAGGTGGTTTTCTTAGGGGCCCACACCCGGAGCCTTTGACCTAAAGATCTGATCCACAATGCAGTGTAGCATCGTGAGGAGATGCATTCCCATGGTAACCGGTGATCAACGATTGATTCGTACGCCATTTGTTCTCTCAGGATACTGTAGCTCATGTGCACCATTGGTTTGGAATCAGGGTTTTCCAACTCCCCTAGGTGGACTCGCCTTGTCCACCAACCCGGTTAAAGCACCGGACATTCGCTTTTTATCGTCTCAATTTCGTAAACAACACCCTTGAGAAGGCAGTGAGTAGGACTTTCCTGGCAGACCAAATCCCAGAATAGAAGATGTAGTAACAGTATTAGTGGTATTCAGAAAGATTAGGCATTGACGGTGCGACTTGGGAAGAAAATATAAAATGCTGAAATAAAAACCAAAAAAGTTATGATGAATTTAGAGTCTCAGAATTTGAGGAAGACTGAATAGGTGCACCTGTACCGCTATTGCACTGTCCAATGGCTATCTGAACTCAGTAGCTAAGTGGATAACGCGATGGTGTTTGAAGCAAACGGTACTGGGTTCGAGCCTCGAAGTGTGTAGGAAGTAATTGTCTACAGATGGTTTTCTTAAATAAGTCTTTGTACTGTCGCACACAGAGTCTTACCAGGACTATACTGAAAACAGGTAACCATGTATACAGTGGAAAATTGTAATCTGTTTCGAAAATGTAAATATAAATATACAATAAACAGAGATGGATAGGGGTTAACATTGCGATTCAGGACGCTTATTTCGTACCGTTTGGCATTCGTCAACTGAATGTATCTGTATACCAGAGTTAATGTTCATTTTATCAGTCTCTATTGATAAGAGTGAATCAGCCAATAACATTTCAGTTAAATGCCCACCACTTAAGACTAATTTAATCCCAGATTTATTATTACTGTGATCCTTTTTATTTAACTGCTAATCATGAGTTGGCATCCAGGGTCTAGGGGTTAAGTGTTCGCACGCGCGACAGAATGTCCTGGGTTCGAACCCTCCGTGCGGGATAGTGGGTGCGCACTGCTGAGGAGTCCCATACTAGAACTAGACGACCGTCCAGTGCTTCCAGGTTTTTAATGGTAGTCTAACACCAATCGATTCACAACCTCAATCAAAAACTTGATGCTTTATTCATCGAGTTATGAAGTTCAGATAATCACTAGTTTGTGAAATAGTTATAAAATTTTGTCTAAATCTGTATTTTCTTGACTGATGATGATAGTTATTTGATCAACGGGAAAATAAATTACAATTTGATTCCGATATTATATTTTCTATTCATTTGTCTACTGTTATATCATTGTTATCTCTCCTTTTTTCTAATTTTCATTCAATATAGGGAATGATTATTTCATTATTTTGTCTAGTTTCAGTTTATTTCTTCGAGTATTTAATTAATCAGTCATTGGTAAGTAAATCGTATTAATATTTATAAACTATTGATATTATGTAAATGAAATGTGTAAGTTTTAGTTAATGAAGGTTTTTCAATTATCCCATTGTTGATATTTAGCGCTTTATGTTGAATAGTTCCACGGTGTGAGCAGCCGGGAAGTGATAACTGCTCTCATACTTCTAACAGCACTCACGATCACTGTATTCTCTACTAATATATGTTCATGTTGCGCGGATCGCCTTAAAATAACTATTTCGTTTCAACTTTTTTTTTACAATAGATAGATTTTAACTGATAATGAATATGTTACGTGCTTGATCTGTCTACCCAGTAATATACAGAAGAAAAGTTTTTCTCAATATAGGTTAAGGCCTTGAAACAATAGTCTAATGGGTTAGAATGCGTAAGTTGGAAATTTCTTGCGTAAAGAAATAATTGGTTGACGAACCAGAGAGAGAAGACGAGCCAACTGGAACACCACACGGTCTACTTCCTCTTCAATTTAGTGCAAAAAGATACATGAATAAACAGATGACTAACATGAGCACAGCGCAAACAATTAGGAAAAATACAGTTATGTTTAAACTGGGCATCAGGGTAGAAAAATAGAGCACTAAAGGTTGCGTTTAAATGGCAATAGCTTCGGAACAGAAAAGGGTATGGAAGTGAATCACATCAAACGAAATCTTATGCTTTGTAGAATAAACTATGGACAAATTTAAATATTAACATTTTACAAACTTTGAATTAAGTGAAATAACGTCCCCCCAAAATAGCTTCCGTTGTTTGTTATAGCTTTTTTGTTTCTCTGTTCACAGCAGATTACAAAATACTCTTATCATGTTATGGGGGACTTATTGGAATAATTTAAACCCTTTATTTGCTACAAATGGTCTAAACATTATATCCACTGAATAAGTTAACGTCTATATGGAATAAATTATTTTTGTTTAAGTACAGTCATTTGATCATTGATCAATGCAATCGTTATGTATGGAATAAAATTTTGTTTACTTACACTGGGCATTTGGGGGCAGGGTCCACAAATGCCCTGGTATGGCCGAGAGTGGGGAAAGTCCGCTCTCCCTCTCGAAATGCTCTCACATGGCCACGCGTCTATAGCCTCTGCCAGGGACGTCCTACTCACGGCATTCCTGTTGTTTACAAAATTGAGAGGACGAGAAGCGAATGTCCGGTGCTTTGACCGGGTTGGTGGACACGGAAATTTCAGCTAGAGAAGTTGGAAAACCCTGATTCCAAACCAATGGTGCACATGGGCTCCAGTATCCTGAGGGAGCAAATGGAGTATGAACCAATTGTTGGTCAAACAGTTATAGTCTTTACTTATTTTCAGTCACTATCTTTGTTTAATTATACAACATTACTTAAAATCAGTCACAGTAACGTAGATGTATTCTTTTACTGTTCTTTCTCTAAATCTGTAATTCATATAAGATATGCCAAGTTTAGTAAATAAACTTTTATGCCAGATTTTATGTTGTCTTTTACTTGATTTATTGACTAATATATACTCCAACAAAGGATAAGTTGTCTGAGTTTTCTTTATCAATTTGTATCTACAAATTCAGCTGTTCCTGCGGAGATAGTCATATTGGGTGTATTACCAGGAAACTTAACCAACAACGAATGAGTGACCATCCCCCAGTTTTGTTTCTAAATGGTTAGACAAAAACGATACATAGCTCTGTCTTGGCACACCTAGTTGACAGTGGGCATATAATAGATAAAACCGAATCGTACACTCTCGTCATTTCTCATTGTGGTTCGATCTCATCTACTTATGACAGAAGCTATGGGGATTCAAACCCGTAAACCCTAGTTTATGTGTTCAGAATAAATTTGTGACACCCTTGTCCCTCCCTTCTTCAATATATAATCAATTATAAACTTCTCATTACGTAATTTTGATAATGTTTTATGATTATTATTTTGAAGTCTATTTATCCACATTTGACCTATTTCCTATGTTGAACTATTGACCAAAACTTTTGTTATTTTACCATACTTATCACTGTTTTTAGTACTTATGCCCATTTACTATCAATTTGTCCTTTTTGCCCATTATGCGTGGTTAGCTATGCAATCTGTTTCATTGTGATCAGTGACTCATAAATCACCTTGATTGGTTTAATATTTTCATATAAATATTAATGTATATTAGGGCAACGTCTGATGAGATTTCAACAAAAACAATATCCTTCGCTTATATACGTTATTCTGATTGATAGTTCGTATTATTCATCTGTCGAAAATTTGTTGAAATTATTAATACTGTCTTCTTTTTCGATTTCCGTGTTTTTTTTCAGTTTGAATTACTTTACTTTCAAAATACACGTTTAACTGCTCCAGAACAATATAGATGGTGAGTAAAAATATACGAGGATTTGAGTCGGATTTTTTTCTGTAAGAGATTTCCTTACTACGAAATTAATTCAGTTACCGGATACTTGAGTATAAGCCACACTATAAGTCTGGGAGCTAATGATACTAACCAGTTACCCAAACGGAAGTAATCGTGGTGGGGTTCAAACCTGTGACTTAGTGTCTAGAAGTCGAGCGTCAGACCTATTAGGCCGTCACCACACCTTGGTACTACTACTACCATTTAACTTGCCAAATTGAAGTTAATTGAGTAATCGGGTCTCAGGTTTGTAATCATTGTTCGAAAGTCGAATGTGTTTTACACTTGGCTACCAATCGGATTAAGAGTTTTGTTTTTGTTTATTCCCTCCATTTATTCCTTAACTGACTACCTTTTGCATATTACATTATACTACTTATCACCATTAAGTAAATAACTTTATTTTAAGTTATTTTGAGCATTTTTGATGTAAGCTTAATTTATTATGTTCATTTGATGAACGTTTACATGAACTTGTGATGTTCAATTTATTCATTATTGTAATTGAAGCTCCTTTGAAGTTGTAACAGTTACTTGCAATTTTTGTGGACTCATTGATTCTTGATTTAATTTTAACAGGTATCATTTGTGTTCTTAGTCGCCGTTTCGATCACTGTCCAGTGCTGTCGTTTTGATTTAGCTGCTAGTTGTTATGAACGACCTTCAGAAGACGCCAAATCGACCTTGATGAAATTAAACGTAAAGTCTAAAGGGGGTTATAAATTACTTCGAGAGATCGAAATCGGGATTTAGAGTAAGGGTTAAGAATTAGAGTTAGGATTTTTCCCACGAACTGACAGTAGGTATAGTGCCAAAATTCTAAGCCATGTCACCTACTTGATGATATCCTTAACGATTATTACCATTATTGCCCAAAGTGTGGTGATAACGTTTTTATCATTGATTTGTTTCCGGAACTCATTGAAAGTGTTGTTTAAGTTAGAGACAGATGAACATATTTTACTAAAGTTATTTATTTATGATTATTATTTATTTAAACGCATAAATATTGGTACAAAAAGCACCAGATAAATATGCGCCTCACAAATCTCATTTGATTTATGTGAGGGATGTGATACTGCAAAGGTGCCCAGACTGAAGCAGGTGGTTTTCTTGAAGGGCCACACCCCGAGCCTTTGACCTAAAGGTCTGATCCACAAGACAGTGGAGCATCGTGAGGAGATGCAGCCCCATGGTAGCCGGTGACCAACAATAGGTTCATACGCCATTCGTTCCATCAGGATACTGGAGCCCATGTGCACCATTGGTTAGGAATCAGTGTTTTCCAACTCCCCTAGGTGGACTCGCCTTGTCCACCAACCCGGTTAAAGCACCGGACATTCGCTTTTTATCGTCTCAATTTTGTAAACAACAGTAATGCCACGAGAAGGCAGTGAGTAGGACTTCCCTTGCAGAGGCTATATATTCGCGTGGCCATGTGAGAGCATTTCGAGTGGGAGAGCGGACTCTCCCCACTCTCGACCGTACCAGGGCATTTGGGGGCATCATTTTTAATTAATATATTATGTATTATGTAAGACAGATTCTAATTCAAAATGTATCATTTGAGACTTGTATATAAGCAAGGCAAACTATTAGCCAACTGTAGAGAACTCTTAATAATTAACTTCTTTTAAGATGTGTGCTGTTGTTGTTGTCCAGAAAATCAATGAGATTTTTACAACTAAGCCATCCAGTTCAGTGGATATAACACTTCAAAAATTGTTGGCAGATTTTCAATAACTGTTGATAAGAACTTATAGCAATTATTCTACAACCAATTTCGATTATGGTTAATTTTCGTTAAGCCCTTTTCACATTCGTATTCCCACATCTTGCATTGTATGCTTGTCGGTTGTTTGGCTTGTGCTGTACTACAATAAACCGTAGTCACTACTTGTTAGTTGTCTCCCGAAAGTTATGCGTCCTTGGGAATTAGCGTAACAAGGATTATCAGAGCAAGTGATAGACGAAGCATGGGAAATATCTTGAGGATAAACCATTACAATCTAGCTGATATCAGTGAATTCCAAATAGGACGAAACATATTCATTACTATACACAATCCATCTACTATAAAATAGTTTACTTCAAGTATTGTTATTTTGTTGCATTTCAAATTTCACTTTGATATTTCGTTGTTACCGTTATTGTTCATTTAAATAATATAGGTATCAAGTACTTTATCAAATTGGTGTATTTTTATCAAGATCGTCAGTCAATTTTATTCATTTTAAGACTACTTGGATTATGTCACTTCTACAAGTAAGTTCATTAATTTGTTTTTTGTATTACTGATCTGTTTTACTTTAAATAAAGTCAATCAGTTATCTATAACGTAGGACTACTTGTATATATGCATCGGTCCAAGTTGCCATACTTCATTAACACAACAAGATGAACACCATATTCATAGAAGCAATTCAATAGTAGTTATATATATGAGTGCTTCTCCATAAGTTTATAAAGAACTTCATCAAACTGGCTGAGATGTTGGTCAATGTTCAATAAATGAACTGCATCCAACACTTTTGACTGCTTTTTTTCTCTTCATTTACTTGATGAGTGTTGTATATGAGAGTGTAATTTTAACATGATTTCTTATGTTTAACCATATTTATGTCTTTTCATCCGACATGTTCAACTATACGCTCCATTGACATATTCATAGTAAGTAGTTACAGATAACTTCAGTTACTCGAACTGAAGACTTCACTTCAATGTACGTTACTCATCTACGAAAAATGAACAGAATACTACTGAATAAAAAAATGCACTTTATGAACATTGAAAGTATTGAGGCTAATCTGAGTTAAGAAACTAACTAGTGACTATTCATTTTATTATCTATGCTTCAAGAAGTGTTCAAATATGTCTACAGGTTGATTGTGACCAATGTTAATAACTTTTGATTACTTGTACATTTTAGTAAATTATCATTTTCAGAAGGGGGGGTTGTGGAGATAATGATCATATGCTCACTAGTGACTGGCTCCATGAGGTATTTCCTGGGGTTCTAATGAGAAGCAGTAACCAGTTGAGTTCAACCAGATCTTTTGGGAGATATCAACTCACTGAAGATATTGATGAATGGTTGCTCAACTTCGTGAATCGGTTGAAGTTAGGCATTAACACCGTTGGATGCCGGCCAGCTCAGTGGTCTATCGGTTAAGCACTTGCGCTCGAGACTGATAGGTCCTGGGTTCGAGTCTCGCGAGGCGGGATCATGGATGCGCACTGTTGAGGAGTCCCACAATAGGACGAGACGGCCGTCAAACAGTGCTTTCAGGTTTTCCATGGTGGTCTAGCTTCAACTTACTCGTGATTTCAACTATATAAATTATCATTTGTTTTACTGCCTTCTAGTGTCTTTTCAATGATCAACATTTGTAAAACGGCTGAAGCATACAATGCTAAAACGTTTGCATAATAAGTGTTGTAATCATAAAGATTGTAAAAGAATATCATATTCTTTTTAAGTTATCATAATTAACTATTATTATTATTATTATTATTTTTATTATTTCCTTTTGTTCAATCATTCAAACAGGCTATAAATTTTGTAATTTGTTTATTACAAGTGATCTATTCTTATATACCACATATATGGATAATGTTCATGGTGATATTCTATGAAGGATGTCTAGGTGGTTTAACTTATGTTAATACGTTTTATAATATTCTTCAAGAAGTAAGTGAATAGGAAATAATGACGAAAATACTTTCTCTGGTATTGTATTCTCATGTAAAGAAATCTTTTACACAATAAAATAAATAGGCTCTGACTATGTTATTAGGTGGTTCAAGATCGTCTGCAACAAATAGCTAGACCGAAATTCCCTGCTAGTCGGTACTGTTCATAGCAAGCTTTGCCTGTAATGTTTAAGGAATTAGTGGTCGTTGTGAGATTTAAACCTAGTTCACTCAGCTTCATAGTCTTAAATGTTGTCATTGTAGTGTTCTTGTCAACTAGGACGAAAACTGAAGCTAGTGAAACTTCCCTGTCGTCCAGATCGAAGTAAGCTAAGCAAGTTTCGAACCTGGTACTTAGCGGCCAAAAAATGATTGCCTTTATATGTTATCGGCTCTTCTCTTATTTTTTTTTTAAACTGTGATTCAATCAGTTAACCAATGATTTTGCTGTGTTTGTATTCATCAAGCATTAATGCCTTATGTAACTGATATGTACACCTAGTGGAGCTTGATGTATTTAACGTTCAGCTAAACAATTTATGTGATATGTGATAATACTGTAGTAAACGAGAACTAAGGTGGGGAAGACCAATTTATTATTTCATGCGTAATTACAGAGTTCCTTTGTAAAATATGATAATCATACACCAAATACATAATTTGCACATCTTCCTTCAGTTGTCCTTTACATACTTCATCATTCTTTCAATTCTGTTGTTATTGCAGTTGCTCTGTGTTTACATTCCTCTTCTTTCTAATTCAATCTTCTCCTGCCGGGCATTTCACTTCTTATATCTGTCAACATAAGTATTTTCAAAGCTGCCTAAACCGAAGTTAGTGTAAATGGAGTTAGAATCTAAGGTTTAATAGTTGAGAACCAAATGTTTTAACCACTATACCACTGGTCCACTATTTTTTCTTGAGTAATGGGATGGCATAAATGGAAGTACACTATCATTTCAATGCATACAACTAAATTTGAAGCGGAATTTCTACTAATCTGTCTATTCTCAGAATGCTTGACGGTTAGAGGCAGTTGGCAAGAAACAACTGATTAACATATGTTTTGTTTTAATTGGTAACCGTTAGCTAAACATTTCTGGAGTCTTCAGAGAACTAATGTTCCCTGATGATTCAAAACCTTGGTCACCAAGTTTCATTCTGAAATACAACAACTGAGTTATTTCATCCGTGGTTGACTTATAGTACTGAGATATTTATAGTTAATTGATCACTGATTAGTGATAACTAATTTTATGTTTGTAAAGACCTTAGCAATAAACATTCCTCCTAGTTCAACATGTAAACATTGCAAAACCTTTCTATTAAACTAGGATATATAAATATATACCTGTATACATATATTTCTGACTTTATAGACTTCTCCTATCTACCGTGAATATGCAATGGCGATGGCAACTGTATCTGATTCAATTGGCGTAGCTGGAGCTGGATTTCTATCCATATATTTACATAATTGGTTGTGTCATATATTAACTTGATGATCGTAATATAATTTTTTTTTAATAATGTATTTTATTACAAATCATTTCCAACTAACCATCTTTATTCGGTTTAATTTTTTAACTACAATGTTATTGTTTTGCATATGATTAGAATGTTTTTAATATTACCATAATAATAATAATAATTGTTATCACTAGTGTATTTCTTGATTACGTAATGTGATAGTTCTGTTTTTCCCTAACCATCATCTAGTGCATTATTGTTCTCAACATAGTTGTTTACATTTCCTAACTAGTAAATTATAAATGAATGGATAGGAATGTCGATTGTTTACAAAAATAAGTATGATTAGCAATGATATCTTTATGTAAAACGTGCAGTAATATCTCATATTTAAAATGTAAAGGATTTTCATTGATTAATTTTAGACAACCATTGAAAATTAGGAAGAATTGGACTGCTACTACTTCGTCACGATACAGGATGGAGCCGAGGATCTTCAGGTTATTCAGTGAGTAGTGCAATTCTCTTCAGATGCTATTAAAGAATAATTATCTCTCATGCAACGTAGTACCAGCTAGCTGTTTAGCGCTTCCTCGTTTTCAATGGTTTAATAATAGGTTCATTTTATGAACCTTAAAATTCAATCATCTTCACGAGCCCTTGATACCAGTATGAAGAATTGTTCGGTTGAAATTATTTTATCTAGGGTCTTTTTTGAGGACTACAACTATCCAGATATAAATTTCACCCATAGAAATCTACAATTTCTTTGACTGATATCATTACTTGTGCTCGTCGTATATTGATTTATTCCAACTTATCATTTATACTGTAGTATTGTTAAGACAAGATGACATGATATTTTTAGCTTATGTAGTTCACTTAACTATCAGCATATCTTAGGAAACAGATATTAAGATGGAAGTGGAATGTTTATTAGTTAAGTGATTGGTTGTTAATTTATATGGCAACTGTATAGACTAAAAGTTACTATAATATTTGATAGTCCATTATTAAGTTGACTTAGCCACTAATTCTCTCATTTATTTCATCCAAGTTTTACATAGGTCATTGAGTTTTGAAAGGAGTGGAAAAGTATGCTATTATATCGCAGCCACTCCTTTCATTTCACGGAGCCACATTCATTGCAAAATAAAGATTATTTGCCATATGCTTGAAAACTCTTGATTGGTTGAATTCTATTCAACACCATTTGTTCTGTTGTCTCTGAAGTTTTGTGTATCTATCAAAGTTGTATGGGGAAAATAGATTTAAAATTAGAAGAATCCCATCTAAGTTGTTTACATCTCTAGATTTTGTGATTTAAAGAATTAGATGCAATAATGCACCTTACCACTTACAATAAAAACAAAATATCCTTTTACAAAAGAAAAACCAAATTAAACTAACATTAATGACTGGATAACATAGTATTGAGTAATCTTTAACGACTGAATAATGTAAATATTTCAGTCCTACCACTAAGTTTGCTGTTGCTTGTATAAAACATTGTTAATGTCTGTAAAATTGAACTATGTTGATCGGTATCCTATTAGGAAGGAGAAAACAGTGTTCAAGATTACAGCTATGTTTTTTGTATATTGAATATCAACTAGAATGTGAGTTAAATTGAAAAATTTCTATCGATTATCTGTTATTAAATAACATTGAAATCTAACACAGTTTTGTTGAGTTATTTAGACTAATAGTCGTATTGGGAATTTATCGATATAAGTCACTTATTACCATTGACTCGTTAAATATAAAATTGGTTTTCGTTCGATGACCAATTCCAGTTAAGTTATCCATTTATCATATGTGATTTCTCTGAGTGCTATACCGGCACGTTTCGCTACTTATTATTAATAAGAGTTGACTTAGTGCCCATGAACTAGATTATATTATTTACACTAGTTATCCCTCATGGAGGACATAGGCCGACCATTAGCATTCTCTATCGAACTCTGTCCTGGGCAATTCTTTCCAGTTGTTATTCATCCTTTTCATATCTGCTTCCAATTCCCGATGTGATGTGTTTTTTGGTCTTCCTCTTTTCCGTTTCCCTTCAGGATTTTAAGTAAGCGCTTGCCTCATGATGCAGTATGGTGATTTCCGTAATGTATGTCTTATCCACTTCCTTCTTTTCCTAATTTCCTCTTGAGTTGGAAGTTTGTTTGTTCTCTTCCACAGTAGACTGTTGCTGATGCTATTCGGTCAGTGGACATTGAGTTTCTTGCATAGACTTGTTAAATTAATCAGTTTATGATTGATTCTATTTGGAATTGGATTTTATAAATTGATTAATAATTCACCTGTAGAATAATTATAGTTCGTCGTTCAGGATAATCTACAAATTCAAAAGAACTGGCTCAAAGAAGATTTAACTGAGACATTTGTGTACGGCTAAAGTCGTAGGAACTAACCGCTTCAAATCTGATTATTGTATACAAGAGTCACGTTCAGTGCATTATTCTTCCATGATCTTATTACCTCTTCTAATTTTTTCAAGTCCCAATTATGGTCTCATTGTATTTACCTTGTTTTTTTCTGTAAATTAGTCAGTTGTCTTTTTTCATTTCTCATAGAAATTATTATTTCTTATCACTAATACATAATGTTTAGTTGAAACTTGGAGGATTTCGATGATTTTCGAAATGATCCATTGATTTTCCTATGTAAATCAATACCTGAAATATTTTGATGCTTTTTTTCAACACTTCAAATACCCTGGTACGGCCGAGACTGGGGAGAGTCTGCTCTCCCTCGCAAAATATTCTCACATGGCCACGCGTATATAGCCTCCGCTAGGGAAGTCCTACTCATTGCCTTCCCACAGCATTCCTGTTGTTTACGAAGTTGAGAGGACGAAAAGCGAATGTCTGGCTCTTTAACAGGGTTGGTGGGCACGGAGAGTCCACCTAGGGAAGTTGGAAAACCCTGATTCCAAACCAATGGTGCACATGAGCTGCAGTATCCTGAGGGAACAAATGGCGTATGAATCAATTGTTGGTCACCGGTTACCATAGGACTGCATCTTTTCACGATGCTCCACTGACCTGTGGAACAGATCTTTCGGTCAAAGGCTCCGGATGTGGCCTCCTAAGAAAACCACATGCTTCAGTTTGTGTAATCTCGGCAGTATCACATCCCTCACACAAATCAAATGAGATTTGTGTGGTGCATATATATCTAGTGCCCCTTTGTACCAATATTTATGTGTTCAAATAAAAAAAAATAAACTTTATTATATTGTGCCACACCATTTCATTTTTATTAGCAAATGTACACTTGAAAACGTTCAACTATCTTTAATAATTCTGGTTTTATAATGTAACACTTATAAACTACTTATAAAAAAATTATCTATAACATGATAATATCATCGAAAAGAATTTTTTCTTCACTTCATATATATATGAAGTTGTTTGTCGGCAATCTAACCTATCATCAGGTCATATACTCAATAGTTTGAACAGATGATTAGTATCGTTATTCTTTATTTAAGTAGTATACATCAAAACGGAATATTTTGAAGTATACTTGATTAGGTACTTATAAGTGAAGTACATTAGGAGTATTTGTTTTAGTTCAATATTCTGAAAAACAAAACAATTCCGAATATTTAATTTACAGAATTTATAAACAGACAATATTGTTTTGATATTTAAGTCTCATACATAGATATATATGTAAAACATCAAACTGCTTAGGGTAATTTATAAATTTGCATAAAATAATAACTTAGTCTACATAACAGTTATAATGAATAAACATTCTATGTAGTTAAGGTCTTGACAAATTGGTCATTGAAGTTTATTCAGTTTCGTCTTATTTGGGACTCGTCAGCCGGATGTACCTGCATCTCAGAGTTGATGTTTACTCTGAGACTCGAACCCAGTACCTTTCGCTTCAAACGCCATCGCGTTATACACTTATCTACTGAGTCCTGATATCCACTTTTGATAAGATATATTACAAGAAATTTCTTGATGAATACAATGATCAAGTTTATTCGAGTAGTTAGTGAAGATGGATAGTCTTCATTATTGATTAAAGTCTCAAAGATTTGTTCATTTTTTATGCAATGGATTCTAAATTGATCTTAGTTCATGTCATTAAGTGTTTACTCAAATCTGAGGTTGTTTCACTTTCATTTAGACCAAATAAAATGTCATACTGTAAGCATTTATATGTAAATTGATTCCTCTGTAGCGACCGACATGACTGTCTGGTTTTTAGTGGTGATGGAATTTTATCAGTGAATTTGTAATATAACAACTGCTGATCATGAGTTTACATTGGAAAAACCATGTTTTGATGTTAGGTGGTTTGATGTGGGCGGCCTGCTTAAATATCTGGGCTACCTGTTTCCCGTCATCTATATATTTCAACAAGTTATATAATATTGTTTGTTTTAATACATAATTATGGCTATTAAGCACACAACCTATTCCGGTGCGTTTCTGAAAAGTGTAAAACCTTTCGCTGTAAAAGTTACAAAAGGCCTAATCAGAGATGTCGTGTTTGCTGGGAACATGCAGCAAAAAGAATATACATTATTCATATGTCGATTGACTGAACTGCTGACATCCAACTGGCGATCACTGAATGTTTATCATCAGGAGCAACGAAGAAATAAGAAACGTAAACATGTTGAAATACTTTATGCTGAGAATTCGATTTTGTACCAAATAATATAATATTGAATAAAGCTAATAATATTAATAATAATCATGTAGTCTATCGGAAACCCTGGTGGACCAAATTTCGTGCAAATTGACATTCGTCACTAACTAGCTCCTGAAATCATAAGCGATGTGACTACCCTTGGTGGAATCGAAGTCCAGCTACCCTGTTTCACAGTGTGTGACGTTACCGTTCAGCTGAATGACGACTGAGATATTTACATTGATCACTGAGTAGTAACAAATATGATACTTATCTAGAACAACATATATAAGCGAACAATATTGTTTTCGATTAGATCCTCATCAGGCTTTACTCTTATTTACAGCAATATTTATATGCATATACGAAATTATTAAACTAATCAAGGCAGTTTATGAGTCAATGATAATAATGGAATAGATTGCATAATAAGTGAAAAGTACAAATTGGTAGTGTGATGACAGGTGTACTGATTGTGATAAGAATAATAAAGGCTTAAACCAATGTTACATAATGGGAAA